ACCTGTGTAAGTGCAACTATATATATATAGGTATATATATATATAGGTATATATATAAAATCTGTTGTCCCCAGGTATCATCGATATATGAGGTATTGTTTATTGATAAAAATTTCACTAAACATGCAACACTTATTAGCAGATGTTAATAGACGGTACTAGTATCTACCTACCTGCGTAGATATTTCAGAACATTCAAACATCCCCTCACATGAAATTATACAGCACAAGGCGGATCTTCTCCGACACACGACTCAAAAATGGTGATTGTTCAAAGGAACAACTACTCAATCATTGGCAGTAATCTCCAGACACACTTCTTTGCTGAACATCTAGATCGAATCTATCACGGGAGCGTGTCACATTTTGTTTCTCTCTCGGATTTGAAACAAGGGCCGCGATACTCGATCATTCTTCGTTACAGATTGCCTTTCCATCCCACCACAGGATCACCCTACACCAAGATATTTGAAACACGGTATAAAGTACATGCCCATAGAAGAATCTAGGTCGAACTGGTTCAAACTTCAGATGTTTGTTTAATAAACATTTGTAATTCCATCTCAACCTATACACACCTCATCACATCTCTCTCAAACCTCAGACGAGATGACCGGCAAAGTTCAAACGGCATAAATTCCGAAAACATCAGAGGATTCATTATGACCTTAGTAGTAGTATCAAAGTACCATCTACTGGATACCTTGGACTGGAGTCTAGAATGATGATAGTTTGGTGTAACAAGAGGTCGGCGTTTATTTCATATAATCCTGCAAATCGAACACAATATATACCATTCGAACAACGAGCCGATGAACTCTCTATTCTTCCTGGCTAGGTATTCCCGATTATGCCTCTTTTCAAGCCACTTGAATCGACGTAAATGGCTCAACCTCCGACATCCAGACCAAAAATGTGCCACAGATGAATTGAGATATCTCAGTTGATTGGTAATTAAAGCAAACGTTAAGATTCCCATCTTGACCTAATGGGACTATTTTAATTGGGTATGGTTCATTTACGACAAGGACCCAAAGAACACTTTGACCATCAACCAAGCATTTTCGCGACATTTCGTTTCTTGCAATGCTCGCTCCCGAGTTACCCCTTGCACAAACCCCGCAAAAACACGTCCTGGCTCTCAAGTTATTCAAACTAATCATCAGAAAATGTTTCCAATATCAGAATATTCATACTTGGGACCGACGATAGGACCTAAGCCGTTCTCTTCTTACAAAGTTTACCTCGATACTCCACTTGGGAGACACTTGGGAGACACTTGGGAGACATTGCTTTGGATATTTCTCTTTCTTTCATTCATTACTCGTTTCTTTGTTTACAAGAAACAGTTTTAATCCAGTATTCCCCAGTCGTTGTTCATTCCTTTCCATTATACCAGCCGGTCTGTTGTGATCCATTCCCTTGAATTTTTCTTTGTCGCTGGAAGTACAAAGAGAAAGCATTTGCCAAGGACCTTCACCTTTCAACTTTCCTTCTTGACGTCCATCTCGCTTTGCATTGTTCTCTTGTTCGTTTCCTTTCCTCGAGTGCATTCACTCGAGTTCGCTTGAGGAGTCACCCCATTGTTCTCTGTCACAATAAAACAACCTTCGATTCATACAATTGTCTTTGTTTAATCATAATCATTGTTATTACTCGAGTATATCTATTGTTCAGTCATACTAAACAATGTTCACGCTGGCCGGGAATCATCTATAAAGTTCTACACAATCACCTTTCAATGTCTTCTTCTCCATAAATCGAACCATTACTTCTTTCAATCTCACAACTCTCCGAACCGAATCAACATTCACAAAGAACTCGATCAGAAGAAGCAGAACTCGAACCCCTAAGTTTAAATCAAATACACATCCTTGCAGGCAAGAAAAAATCCTCCCGATCCAATCATTCAAGCACACACAGCTCGAAACTCGAAAAACTTCAACATGAAGTCTACAATTTCAATCAGCATTGCGGCTCTCTTATTGCTTTTCCAACTAACGGCAGCTCACACATGGGCAGATGAACTTAGAGTCATTGCACGCAATGGAACGTTCACAACTCCAAAAGGCTACCCCCGTGCTTACACTCCCCGCGTTGGAGCATACAACCCCGACGACAATCTCTGGAAACTCTTGAACGCTGTTCCCGATTCTACAACGATCTGTAACCCAAAACAAGTACCAGGAGCAAAACCTCTAGACTCGTCTCAACAAATTTTGAGCGCTGCTCCAGGAGACTTCGTTGCTGTCAGGTACCAAGAGAATGGACATGTTACTGAGCCCACACAAGCAGACACTCCCGAACAAGGCAAGGGCTTTGGCAGCGGTATTGTGTACGTTTACGGCACAGCTGACAGCAAAGCAACCGACAAATTCAACGCCATTCACAAAGTATGGAACAAAGATGGTACTGGCGGAGACAAGCGAGGAAAGCTTCTTGCCACTCAGTACTTTGATGACATGGCATGCTTCCTTGCAGGCAATACCAATGGCAACCTCTTCGTTGACGAACCGACCAACAAAGTTACTATTGCTATGGCAAGAGCAGAAGCTTATAAATTTTCACAGACAACTCAAATGGGTCCAAACCTCTGGTGCCAGACTGATTTCCAGATCCCAGTAGAAGCACAAGCAAACAAGGACTACAGCATTTACTGGGTTTGGGATTGGCCTACCATGGATAAGAAGACCGGTAAGACAACCGTCAGCGAAATCTACACTTCTTGTGCCGACATTGCTATCACTGGTACTGTCAACAAGGATGAAGTCTCTTATATTGCACCTCAAGAGCTCAGCAACGCTGCACAATGGAGTCAGATGGTCAATCCCTTTGTCGTCGATCCCACCGCCGCTCAAAAACCATGGTCTATGCGCGCAACTACCGATCTCTTTGCTAAGCCAACCGTCTTCGCTGCAGCTGGAACAACAGCTCACGTTCAACCAACCACTGCAGCCTCCATCTCTGAGCAACAGTCATCCACCACTCAGCAACAATCATCCACCACCGAACAAGTAGCAACCGCTACTTCAGTCTCCGCACATCAAGGCTTCACCACCGTTACCATTTACGTCACTCAGACGTCCGGCGTAGCAAATCCAACAGGTGTCGCCACTGATGCGCAAGCAGGCGTTGGAGCTCCCTCAGTTCCTACTTCTGGATTCGCATCAGCAAGCACTTCAGTCTCTTCAAGTGTAGCTTCTGCTTCTCCTTCTGGATTCACATCGGCAAGTGCCTCAGCTCCTTCAGGTGTTGCTTCCGCAAGCGGCTCCTACGCTCCTTACCCTGCAATTCAACCTTTCATGAAGCGCTCCCTCCAGATCCGAGGTCGCAACGTGAATTGAGTCCAAACAGGGATGGAAAGAGTCAACGGACGGAGTGGAGGAATAGATGAGTGGATAAATAGATAGATAGATTAGATAGATACCCCCCTTTTTCCTTTGAGGCAACTCAATTACATGCACAGCATAGCACAGCCAAAATTGATAGATAGATAGATGATAGATAGATAGATCGGATACCCTGGAGTTCGTTTTTGTTTTCTTACATTACCACGGAGTTTGCAGGCGCTTTTTCTCTTCTTTTCTCTTCTCTTCTTCTTTTTTAGAATTCTTTATGATTCTGAGGCTGGCTGGCTGGCTATTTTTACAATACACCACATTTCATTTTCTTTTGTTAACTTTACGTTTTACTTTTCCTTTTACTCTTTGCTTTTTATGACGATGACGATGATGATGATGATAACGACGACTTTTTTCTTTCGGTGATGGATATGGATATGGATTTGGATTTGGATTTCGAGCACTTGAACAAGACATTCGATTTGGTTTGGTGCATGGAGCGGATATGAAAAGTATATGGATATGGATGATGATACCCTATTAGACTTACTTGCATGGCTTTTTACCACACTCGTTTTTGTTTTTCGTTTTTTCCTTGCATATGGAGATGGGAAGGAGGGAGGGGGGGTGTCTAGGTGGTGAGGTTTTTGGGAGGTTAGATATCATATCGTACGAGGTAGCTGGTTACGAATGATTATAGATGAATACAGAATCTCTTATGAATCATGAATTTCAAATTTTGAATAATTGTTTTTTTGGACGTGTGTTGTATGCCTAGTATATATGTGTGTTGTATGTAATGTATGTGATGAGTAGTGATTCATTTATAAAATATCGTTGAAGAAAAGAATAGAATAGAATAGAATAGAAAACGTAGACGATTATTCTCCTTATAAAGAATACCTATTAAGATATAAGATATAAAATATACTCGAAATCTAAAGGTCTAATTAATCGTGCTTGTGAACGAGAGAATAAAAATGAGGATGGGTATAAGAGGAGTGGAAGTATTTATGAATATATGATTAAGATAGGTGGTGTTTTATGTTTTATATTATATGTTGTATATGATGTGTGTTTATAGTTGAGGAGAGAGATGTTATATTTTATTATATTGTATTGTATTGTATTGTATTAGAAGAGAGGGGAGAGGGAGGGGAGGAGTCTGATTAATGATTTATATAAGATCTTATATTGTAAAGAGTTATGAGTATACGGGGGAGTGATGAATAGATGATGAATCGATGGATTGAATAAATTGAGAAGTATAATGAATTCAAATTTTAGAGGGGAAAGCGGAGAGTGGGAGAATGTATATATGTATACATGTATATACATCGACAACTATAAGCTTCGAGGGAAAAAAAGATCGCTAGGACGAATGTTTGTTTTGTATGACAGATGAGAAAATGTGCAGTGATGAAGAAAGAAGATGAGAATTTCCATCTCGTTCTTCGATATATCTATATTGTATTATGTCTCAGTGCTGGTATGATATGATAGGTGCAGGTTTGACATCTATTGTCCTACATCTATTGACCTTCCTGGAAAACTATCTTAGCTCGCTCTATCATAGAAGAAGCCTATCTTTCTTTCACACGCTCCCATTTTCCCATTGCGTTCGCAATTGATCTGAAATCCACATCTCCATTTCCATATTTACATTTCTCCGCATAGAGAAATGACGACGGGTAATTGCGGAGCATCCTTTGGATTCGTGCGAGTATTTTCCATTTTACGGACGACGTCCATTCCATCGACTACTTTGCCAAAGACAACATGTTTATTATCGAGGAAGGGGGTTGGGACTGTGGTTATGAAGACTAGAGGGATGTCAGTGGTTTGATTTGGGTGTGGTGACAAGGTAAAGGGGAGGAATATGCAAGTAGGATGTAAAAAGATGAGATGACTTACATTGAGAACCATTGGTATTTGGACCAGCATTCTATATCCATATTAGTTTCATATCCAGCTACCGGACTACGAGAAAGATTGGACAAAAACATACCGCCATGGACAAAAGTCCCGGTTCCGTATGCTTATGGGTAAAATTCTCATCATCGAATTTACTCAGTCCGTAAATACAAGTAGAGCCCGTACCATCGCCATTCAAGAAATCACCCCCCTGACACATGAAATCCTTGATCTATACGACATGTTAGAAGTGAATCAGCGCAAGAGGGAAGGGGTCATACGATTCGATGGAATTTACTGCCTTTGTATCCTTGCGGTCTACCAAGATGATTTTTGGTTTCCCCGGTACAGAATTGACGGAAATTCTCGGCCGTCTTGGGAACGACATCGGCGAAGAGCTCAAATTGGATACGTCCGAGTGGCTCACCTGGTTGATGTTAGAGATTCATGTACTATCTTCAGGATTGGAGATGTTCAAAGATAACACGTGATGAACTTCAATGAACAGACAAACAAAAAACCGGTTCCCCAAGCTACTAGCTGGAAATACCGGAACACTCCTTCCAAAAATAAAGGGGAGTGAAGCACGTGGGCAAAAGAAGCAAAAGACAAAGAGATCAGCGATCACACGATTTGATGTGGAAGGACCCGGTACTTCGGAATGCTAAACATTTAGACTCCGCCGTTTCCGTGTTTAAAGATATGCATGAAAAATAGTATAGTTTCTGGATGGATCATGCCGTAAGATGACTAACCTCCAATTGTGATATCAAAGAAGACTCTATTCACATATTTGTCAGTACATCGTGCTCTTCTCCAGACGTTAAGGTTGCAATCAGCTAGGTATACGAACAGAGGGTTCCCCGACGCGGGTAACTGAGTTGGTGGCATATTTTAAAGAAGGGGTGGGTGTTGAGATATGTCCGAAAGAGGAAAGCTTTCTGGTTAACCCCGATTGTCCTACTGCAAGCGTAGGTATCGTTCCCGAATTTGTATCCAAAGGTCCAAAGCGTATTCAATACGGTGTATTGGAGGTGGGAATCGCGAATTGGAATCTTTGACAGGGTTTAACAATCGATCTAGAAGTGTTGTGGGCAAATAGAAGCCGTATGATTAGTGAGGAGATAAAGAATTCCTTGTCGAATCAAAAATGACGAGAATGATTTGGATGATGTAAGGTCACTTTAGATGGTTTGTTGTAACTTTGTCAGGTGTTAATCTTTGTGTGGTATTTAGAAAAAAGGTCTCTCGGCAGACAAGATTGATCGTCGCTTTGTAAAGTTTAGCGTCATATATGTGCAGAACTAATTGTAAAAGTTACAAGGGTTTTGCGAGGGGAAAATCAGAAAAAGCTTGATTTTTCATCACAGATCATGATGAATGGATGAATAAATCCACTGCTGGAAGATACGGCACGGATTTGAGTCTTTTGACTGGAGAGAGAGGAGAGGCGAGGAGAAGAGAGGAGGGAGGTAAGGTAGAGGAGACTGTCACGAATCATCAAGAATCATTACCTACCCGTGATCTAATCCTCAAGACTCTCGGCCAAAAGTTGATTGTTCCCATATCTACGTGACATTGCTTGGCCGTTGACTTTCACAAGGTAGGATTTCTGACATGTACATCCATATGCCAATCGATCAATCGTTGGCTGCATGTATGAAAGTGGCCATACGATACACCAGCCAGATACACGAAAACGAGAAGAGAACCGCTCTTTGACCTTGGGGACGGGGAAGAGATTCATTGATAATCAGAAAAACAGTCTACCTCACAATGAAAGAGATGTGCTATCGGGAAGATCAATACGAGTGAGTGCATGCATATCTTCAAACTGATGATGTACTGATAGGTATCATGAGATGTCACCACTCTGCGATCTTCCAGGTTTCTCTCTTCTTGCATGATGAATCAAGGAGGGATGGTTTAGTATCAAACTCAACGCGCTCCGAAATCCCCGGGTTGGTATTATCCAATGATATCAGTTCAGATGGTATTGAGACGGACGTTGTATGCATGTACCGAATGTACTGTAATCCCATCTCTCACCATTTTGTTTGGAGGAGTCTTTAAAGGAGGCACAATTGTCTCAGATTTACACGTTTTTGGAAGATTCATGATCGCTTCCGGTCTCTCCATCCTTTATGAAAATCTTTTGGAAGTGAGAACATACCTAGTAGCTAGATATCCACGATGTAGTAGGTAGTAGGTAGTAGTAGGGAGTAATCTTACATGCACACACCCGAATCGAAATTCCAAAACCCATTCGTGTGGATGGATGCATCTAGAGTGACTAGGAGAATTCCGGATTGTGTATCCGATCCATATCTAGATATCTAGATTCCATGTGGCTTACCATTCGGGATTTGTCTTGCCCATTGCAAGTTGCAACACCATGGATGCTTTTCATGAAGTCCAATCATTTCGTACGGATGGCCGTTTGCCGTCGACCGTTACCAAACTTGTAAGGTGTAGGTAGGTTAGGTAGGACCCGACTGTTTTTTTTATTTGTTGTAACTTGTGTGGGAGTGAGATGATGAAAAGTATTTCAAATACTTATTTCTTGGTGGGATGGGAGAGGAGAAAAGGGAGGCGTAGAATTGAAGGAAAGTTGTGTGTGTATTTATATTATCGCCATCATAATAACTACAACCATTACCGTGTGAAGCTTTGTAGATAATTGTTAATATCGGATGTATCTTTTCTTTGTTCTTGTATTTTTCGTATTGGGAAGGTTTATTTACAAGAGTATCTAGGTATTTTGATTCCTCTCCTCTCTATTTGCGTGCCATACACTTCTTCTTTGTATGTTCGTCTAAATAATAATATTCTCTACACTTCACTTCTAGATCTATCATCTATGAGATCTCTTCATTATTCAATATTATCTATACTATGGGTATTTACGATATATGATACGATATATATTTGAGTACACACTTACATATATACCTGGTCATTCTTGGGATCCACCACTTACCTCCTCCTCAAGTACTCCGCAAAAAGGAATTCCAAAACCTGTCTGAACGCATTCGGGAAGTACATTTTAACTAGCTGGGTATGTGAGTGTGTAAATGTGAATATGTATGATATGGATCTCATGTACGATATCTAATATGTATCTAATATGTATCTACGATAATATGTACCTAATATGTATGAACATCGTTGGTTATCATTTAATTCACTCACCTGCCTATCACTCTCATATCTTACTCCAACTCTGATTTTATATTGGTAACGGTGATGATGATGGTCATGGTAACGGTATTAATATCAACATCAATATCTGTTTCCGTTCACATCCATTCAAAACCACTCAATCCACTCAATCCATTTAATCCACTCAATCCATTCACATCCAGTCAAACTATCTAAACAAAGACTCAAGCACTCGAGTACTCTTTGATCATTGTTGATCTACCATTGATTTCATCACATTATCATTCCGCTTGCCTTACATCCTGACTCGATTGGAGTCCCCGACCATCGATTGGGATCAATTTTCCGCTCGATTTCCAAATCATTATCGCCTTGCTTTGACTTCCTCTTGAGCCATTTTTTAAATCAAAATCAAAAAGACTTTGGCCTCTTGTCTTGTATATTATTAATAAGCCAACTCCAACTTCATTCAATTCCCACTCAATTCCCACTCAACTCAACTCAACTCAACTCAACTCAACTCAACTCAACTCCAACTCCAACTTCCAACTCTCAACCCACTCCCACTCCCAAGTCAAAGTCAAATCATTTGAAAGGTATGTTTTCAAGTGATATCGAAAAATCAATGCCCTTTTTTCAATTCCTCGTCATTCTTTCGTTACAAGATCCCATTTATCATCCATTAATAAACTTGCTGACCCCATCTTTTTTTCTCCAGCCTTCGCCCTCGATACCCAGTTTTGGTTACTTTATCCACAAAGACAGCCTCTCGATTTCATCCATCCATACATCTATTCATCCACCCCCCCCCCCCCCCCCTCCCCATCTCCCCCATCCCTCATTAATGCATATTGTCGCACCAAGGAAAGGACTCGTGTGAATCGCTTCACTTTACTTTACTTTTACTTTCTCTCGCCTCTCACGTCAACTTTTAATATTTACTCTTTCCCACATTATCGATCATTGGGAACGGGAAAAGAAAGATTGGTTCATATGAATGGTTCATTAATCAATAGTTTCAAATGATCTCGGTAAAAGGATTTCTTTGATTCATTCACGACCACTTGTGGCAATCAATAATCTCATCCTGTATTGTATTGACCCACCCATACGACCTAACTCTGGGAACGTTAGAGGGTTGAACGGCGCTGCACAATTACAACAACACATCGCTCAACTAAAACATGGCGCTAGTTAATGGAATGGTAGAGGTCGTCAAGATCGTCGCGAGGCAGACTACAATCGCACCTTCGTCAACAGGAGCAACTTCGTCCCCGATCTCATCAACCTCAGCATCTGCTACTCCATCTACACCAGCATCGTCCAATAACAACAGTAGCCCAACTAGTTCGCCACTGTTGTTCTTCGTTGCGCTGGGATTTGGTGTCGTATTTACAAATTTATGGTAAGTACCTCAAGGGGTTCGAATGTCTGCTTATCACTAACCTTTGCGAAGGATCATCGTTGGTGTCAAATACTGTTTTCGATACAATGCTAGGAATCGGGCTGCGCGAGAAATGGGTGAGAACCCAATCAATCTCGATAACATGCCACCCCGACCACACCGAAGGCGCCGGGAAAAGAAGCTCATGACCATGGACGAAGTGAACGAACGATTTCCTTTGACGAAATACAAAACCTGGGTAGCAAATCGAGCTAGCGAAGGACTACCAACTAGCGGGGGTGTTACAGCGCCGCCAAGCCGAGCTGCAAGCGTGGCAGAAGTGGAGGGAGTAGAGCCATCTTCGCCTGTTGGAACAAAGCATTCTATCAACACCAGGCCAGCCACAGCCACTTCGAACAGAGATGAAGCAGCACCATCATCGCCAGCACATACTATCAGAGGTGGGTATGGCGACAGAAAGAGTATGGATGCGGTAATTGCGGAGAAGACACCTGCAACGACCGAGGAGCGTAAGGAAGAACTACATCATTTGGAAGAAGTTCCAACGAGAGCCAGCACAATCGACAATAAGAATATTGCAACGGTCGAAGACGTTGAGGATGACGACGAGGATGATCATATTCATACCGCCGTACCTCCCGAGCTCCTCAACAACCCAGGAGATTCATGCGCTATCTGCATTGATACTCTAGAAGAGGACGATGACGTTCGTGGTTTGACTTGTGGTCATGCTTTCCATGCCTCATGCTTGGATCCATGGTTGACCAGTCGTCGTGCTTGCTGCCCACTTTGCAAGGCGGACTACTTTACACCAAAACCCCGACCTGAAGGTGAGCCTGAGCCTGAGCGACATTCGCGTAGAGCACACGCCTCGAGGGCAAATATGCCTCAACAGCCACAGTCAGCTTGGACTGGAATCCGAGGTATGCCAGGAATATTCGGAGCATCCGCTAGGTCAAATGTAGATACTCGAAATCGTGATGAACGACAAACGAGGCGGGCACGCCAAGCTCAAGCTGGACCGACGAGTGTAGCAGCTGATGGAGGAGCACCCGAAGTCACCACTGCTTCAGCAGCAAGCAGATGGAGGCCAAGAATACCGGCGGCTTTCACCGGAATCCGCATGCCTGGTAGTAATAGAGCCACAGAAAATGCTTCGGCACAATCAGCCAATGCCGAGCCAACACCTTCTCAGCTGGAAGCAGGTCATCGCTTTGCTTGAGGATAACTGAGCTTCAACTGGGAAAGTTGAGTCGTCTATTGATTGTGTGGGGAATTGTCGAGAACAATCCGGTGATATTATTGGCATCGTCACAGTGAGAATATCTGTGATCGTCTAATCACGAGTACATACCTACCAAGCTATACCTAATCCTTTGCAACCATGTCTCAACAAATGTTCCCAAGTCGCCTCCCATTTACTGACATTCCCCATCAATCTACCAATACGAAAGTGCCCATGCCCCAATCCAGCAAACGATCTCAACCCACCCCCTTTTCAGTCGTCTCAATACCTAATTTCGATCCGTCATATTTCAGGCATTGTACATACACTCAGATACCAAGACACTCGATACATGTCAGTATTTGAGCTAGTCTTCAGAATTTTCTAGTCCGTCACAAATCTCTTACGATGTTGTGCTCCTTTAGCGAATGTTTATCTTATCTTATTTTACTTTTATTTTTCTTTATCGACATATTTTCGATTGGCCTCGGCTCCTGATTCCGGTTTCTGGCAGGTATACATGGTTCGGGGCCATGTGAATGGGATGGCGGATGGATGGGAAGGACCGGATGGGCGGGAACGGTTTTCAAAGGAAATTTGAAAAGGTCGATTCCGGGGTGTTAAAGGAGGTGATTGATGAATAAACGAATGAATGAGGGGGGCAGGCGGGACACATAGACCGATATTATTTCACTTTTATCCGATCGCATGGGATGTATATGGATGGATGGTTGGGTGGGAGGCGGGCTTGAGGGCATGTTGGGATCGGAGTCGACGGTTGCAAATACAGGGCTGGCGGACATAGTAGTGCGGGTGATCCATTACATACAATAGCTGATATCAAAGAGAGAAATACTCACACTTATACATCGTTGTTCTTGAACATATCTACAATATATCTACAATAGATGCCGCTTTGAATTGTGCGTAGTATGACGCTCTGAATTGCAGGAAACGAAGCGCGGTTCAGATTAGAATTTAATCGAAAAGTCAAACAAGTAGACAGAGTTGCTCCCAAATACACAAAAGAGACATCCAAATTGAGTAAATTGTGAATATTAAGTTAAGTGCTTGACTACCTAAGTACCCTGCTATGCATTCCATAAAAATGAAACTGACACGCGCGCCCGATATCTTTTAACATACATCCTCCTTTGCATGCATTCTCATGGTATTTTCCTCCTCCCACGTACTTCATCTTCATCTCATGGATCGTGTTGTATCATATCACATCATATCAAATCATCATTTCCAGAGACGAGCCTCGGGAACGATTAATTATTAGACCTATAACTCATCTTCTTCAAGTTACCTTCCATCCCATCAAATCAGCAGATCTTCAATTCAATCATCTTCCTACACGAATGACACCGGCAGCGATGAGTTGTTGGATCTTGGATCTGATTTGTGGATTCTTCATGTGTTCTTGAAGAGCGGCGGGGTCATTTTGAGCTTGTTGGAGAATGCTTTGCATGACTGGATCGCCCATGATTCTTTGGATCTGTAATGGTTGTTAGTATCAGTCTCGAAAGCAACTACTTTTTAACCTACCTCAGGGTCTCTTGAAAGTCTCTCCTTTGTCTGTTCCTCAGTCTCATTCTCTCTGGCACTGTACATGGCAGTAACAGCCTTCTGCTGTTGCTGTTCAATTTCTCTAGCATTGGCCTTTGAGACATCAGCCTCGCTAGCTTCGTTACACGCATCAAGCGATTTGGAGTAATCTCTCATGCCAAAGTATGCTTGTGCTTTTCGGATGTATGCTCTGACAAACTTAGAATCCTTGGAGATTGCCTTGTCGCAATCTTCCAACGCAGAAGGGAATTCAAGAAGCTTGATGAAAGAAGCTGCACGGTTACTGTAACCTCTTGGATCCTCTGGAGCACGCTTAATCATCTCACTATAAGCCTCGACTGCTCCAGGCCAATCTGACTCCTTGAACTTTTGGTTTCCGAGTTCACGAGCCTCTTCAGCCTTTGCTGGGTCGATATAAGCCTTTCTAGCACTATCAATCTTGTTCTTCTCTGCGGCACGGAGCTTGTTGACGACGTCAGGGGTACGGTGTTCGGTGAGCGACTTGTTGTAGTTCTCAATGGCTTTTGGCAGATCTCCCATCTTCTCATAGGAAGTTCCGATACGGGCGTATGATTTAGCGATCATCTTGAAATCGGCGTAAATTTCTCGTCCCTCTTCAACAGCCTTCTCACATGCCTTAATGGCCTCTTCATACTCTCCCTTCTCGAAATATGCAGCACCAAGGTTATTAAGATACGTGATATCCTTGTAGATTTCCCAAGCTTTGCTGTAATGTGCAATCGCCTCATCAAAGTTCTTCTTCTTGTACTGTTCGGTACCAAGTCTCTTTTCCTCATCGGCCTCGGCCTTTGCCTTCTTCTTTTCGGCAGCCTCCTCATCCTCTGGCTCCGGTTCTGGCTCGGTCTTGGCCTTCTTGGCTTGTGGTTCTTGCGAGCTTGGACGTACATCTGGCATTGCGATATCCTCCTCAGCCTCCTTAGGCGCAGAAGCACCCTCAGCACCTGGAGCGCCACCGAAAGCACCCGAATCGGCGAAAGACATGTCGACACCCATCAGGACACCCAAGACTTGAATCATACGTGGATCTGAGAAGAGATCTTGAGTATTGCCTGGGTTGGACTTGATTTGTTGAAGTTTTGACATGAAGGTTGGGTCTGAAAGGAATTTGGCGGTCTTGGGGTTTGCTGCTAATTTAGTGATGAGTTGAGGATCACTGAACATATTTCCTAATCCTTCTGTTGGATCACCCTTTACGCCATCTACAAATCCTTTGTTAGCCAACCATCCATGTAACTCTAGACTTTCCAAAACTCACCTGCTTTAGCCTCTGCATCAATAGATTTCTTGACTTGTGCCAAACCCTTGGTAGCAACGGCATAATTTGCATCAAGCTTCAAAGCCTCTTCGTAAGCATCATGCGCCCCCAAAAGATCTCCCAAACTTTGCTTAGCAGTACCGACTCTGCCCCATCCCTTGGCCCAGTCAGGTTTAATACTCGTACACTTTTCAGCATCCTTTAAGGAGTTTTCAAAGTCTCGTTTTGAAGCATATGCAGCCGATCTATTAGAGTATAGGATGTGGTTTTCTGGTTCGATAGCAATGGCTTCGGTGAATTTTTCGCTGTGAGGCCATCAGTAACTTCTCTTCACGCATATTCCTCCTCAACAAAAACCCAGTGCAACGATACCATAGGTAGCTCTTAGGAGTTATACAGCCGAAAGACGAACAAAAGGGAAACTTACACAGCCTCGTCGAAATTCTTCTCTGCAATGGCTTTATTGCCAGCAGCTTTTAATGCGTCCGCCATGATGTGTGAGAGAGTTATGAAAGTAGAAAATCAGAAAATATGACAATTAGAGGTCGAGGGTAATACTGAAACTCGAATGCTCAAATTATAAAGTTGGGTTGGAGGTTGGACAGGCATCTCTTTATTTTCCCTCCACTTGTTTCCAGAGCTTTCGATGCCCGCCTCGAATGGTCCGAGCTTCTTGTTCAAATCACATGAGTAATTATTTTGGGATGGTGGGGGAAACAAGGCTAGAGCAAGGCTATGAGGCTATCTATCCAACCTCTTTGACTACTCCTAGGGGTCTAGATGTCTAATGTCTAAATGATCTTTCTGAGTCCCTTTTAATATTTCTATAAACTACCCAGTATACAAAGTTAACTTTTCACTTCAATGTCTACTTTTACACTTTCACATTTTACACTTTACACTTTACATTTTACAGCTCTAAAACAGGGACTATTGCAATCTCCAGACCCCTAGCCTAACTTAGAATTCAAGCGTGGTATTGGATGCAAGGTTAAAATTAGATAGATGCAAATCAATCATACATACATAGACTTCTGTCTGCCTGTCTGTCTTGACCAAAGTTAAGAACTTTAACTTAGTATCCTCCAATGTTTGACACCCGGAATTCAGATCTTTTTTAGCATATACTTTTACCACTGTTTCTCTAGAAACAATCATCACACAACTAACACAGTACGCACATGCAGGTATCAACGTTCATTTTTAATCTTATTATCATTGCCGTCTCCTTTCCCTTATCACCACCCCCCTAATCGCATGCCTTCCCAGTGTTCCATTCCATTTTGCCAACTGGCACTTCTCGAAAATGAGCAAGTACTCAGTTTATGAGAACTTTGTATCTCCCATCCCATCTCCCCATTTCATATCCCACAAATATATACACACGTATGAATGGCCTCCTCTCCTTGATCCAGTGACCCCTAAGACTGAACTGATAAATGTCCATCTCAACTCGTTCTCATTCCATCCCCAAAATAAAACTAGCAATTATCTTCTCATTAATGATTCAGTAGATACGTATTATGCTGTATGCGATTCAAACCCTGAGTCAAAAGCAGAAATGCCAGCTAGCATTTAGGCAGGCCAAAATAAAGAAACCCCTCCCCAAAAATAACATAAAAAGGTATCCATCAATAATGCATGCGTGTGTGAGAGGTGCGCCACCACCTCCAGAAATATGTGCCCATTCAATCAATTCAAATCGTCAATTGGTGCGCTCGTCTGATGGTGCTTTGTCGTATAACAAGAAAAAAGTAGAAAACACAAAAATGTTGAATGCAAAAGGGGCAAAATTCCAATGCAAAACAACAGACATTGGGAATAGAGCGTCAAACAAAATGAACCATCCATAGCTATGCCAAAATGAAGCAAACAGCAAAAAAACCAAATAAACGACGACATGTGGATGATCCTTGAATGAAAAGGTGCTGGGGAACCCATTAATCATTGGACGAATTATTATGAAAAGTCGTCATCTCCGCCGCCTTCTCCATCAAGGACGTCAACTCTCAAGACCAATTCTTTGGTTTCTCGAGCAATTTCGAACGCGATAGGTGGTAGGCTTTGATTCCAAGCTCGCCATTCTGCATCACCTTCGTCATCTTCTCTTCCCTCAATTGCAATTTCTCTGCCCTCCTCGCCTGCAGCCATGATTCTCTCTCTGCACCCAGAAAGTTTTGTCAAGACTGGTTGACATTGTGAGCGGAGCGCTGGATTGTTAATCATGGCTTCCTCAGTAGAAGCAACAACTTCACCAACAACACTGGCAATTGCATCAATCTGGGTTGAAATAGCATTTATACCGCCTTCTGAACGAATGGAAGAGACGAGAGACTGAATGTTCTGGACTAAGAGCGCCGTTTGGTCTTCAAGATATATCTGCGAAGAGTATCATTAGCATAAGTAAGTCCCTGAGGGATCATTTAGTTCCATACCTTGAGATCTTCAATATCACTATCTTGCGATCTGAGGCCAAACCCTGCCCCCATTGAAGCTGGCAGGGGGCTTGGAGGACCACTTGGGGGACCTCGGGGCGCTTGTAGTGCCAGTGGAAGTGGCTTCGCGCTTCCATTAAGAGGCTCGGCGCCATTAGTCATTGGGCTTAAAGGGGGTTCTCTAGGACTAGGTCCAGGTGCGTTTAAAGTATCCTTTACAGAACTCGTGGGAATTATGATTGACTCGCGAGGAGAATTGATTGGACTGTACATAGACGAATTGGTGCTAGCGCGATTATTTCCTAGACCAAGGAATGGGCCAGGAACATAGTCGTCAAAGCTTTCCCTCGGTAGGTCCTCGCTTTGCCTGTCGAAATTGTCTAAACTTTGACGTGGTGAATCCATGCTTTGTTTGCTATTATTCTTTAGGGGTTGAACATTCTCTATTGGTGGTTGAGGGGCTTCTTGCTGTGGTGGAGCATTCTCTTGCTTGACTTCACGTGATGCAAAGAATCCAAAGAGGCCTCCGGTGGAAGGCTTAGTTGTTGCGGGCTTAGGTTCAGTTGCTGTTGCAGGCTTAGATGAGAAAAGTCCTCCTATGGTAGAAGGTTGAGTTGAAACAGGCGCAGGTGCTACTACGTCGTTTGAGACTAAAGTACCGTCACCATTGTCTTCTAGCTCTCCTACAGGCGTAGGTCTGATCTTTACCGTTCGGGCAAGCTCAACTACCGCCGTGGTAAGATGGGAAGCGGCTGCATCGAGCAAAGAAACAGGCGAGAGTCCCTTGGCCCCAGCAAAATTCTTGGATGCAGTGATCAGATTATTCGCCGTCGCCGAGAGTCTAGACTTAAGCTTGACCTGCTTCTGGGCTAATTCTGCACTACTTTGTGGTGCTTGGTCGATATCTTGAGAGATTTGTCGCACGTTGATGACTACATTCTTCATGTATTCGATGACCTTTTCAGGGTCGCTGGAGCGTGCAATCTGTAAAAGCTCATCAATCGAAAGTTGAAACTTAGTAATATGAACATCCTTGATAAGACCATTCTCTGCAGTAAATCCAGTGTCTTTGGCATACTTGGCTGCATCTTGTATCGAGAGGCCAATTGAAGATGCTCTTAGGGTGCGTAGCTGCGTCTTTGTTTTCGCATATCGATTTCTCCATTCTTTGACTTCATCCTCTAACTTGTTGACCATGGTCTCAAGTTGCTCCTCGCGTTCATAAGATGCAGTACTTCGTTCGGACAACATCTTCATTTCGCGAAGGAACTCCTGGGCTTCACTTCGAACATCCTCGGTGATTTCTTGTTGCTCCCTGAGCTCAGCTCTGAGCTCTTCGTTTTCCCGTTCCAGATCTGCATCACCGGATCCCATGCCTTTACCAGCGTCTACAAGAGCAATTTGAAGCTCTTCAATCTGAGTCTTCAACTCTCTGTCCGAATTGGCTTGTGAGTCCCGTGCTCGGTCAATCTCTGATTGTAGAGTGTCGTTGAGATTTTGCGCATCTGCAAGCTTGTTTTCGAGATCTATTCTAAGGTCTTCCCATTCCTTTCTATCCGCGTCTACCGATGCATCCCTCCCCCTTTGCTGATCCATAACAATATTAAGTTCATCATCCTTTCGTTTCAAGTCATCTTCCATGGAATCAAGTCGTTCTTGAAGCTCTGCAATTTGGGATTGGTAATCATCAATGAGTTTCTGATCGATCTGTGGAGTTAGAAAATAATTAGAGAGAGAAATAGGCATTGATCTTACCTCTGAGCCCCCAATGCTTTTCTTACTCTCTCGGTCTCTTGCAGCTCCCTCCAATCCGAAAGCATCCCCATCATCATCATCATTATCTTCAGGTCCGCTCTCATCATCTTCAACCATAGTACTTTTGTTCGGAACAATCGTGTTACTTTGAAAGGTTTTTGGTGTCGGTCGACCGTAATCATTAGGTGGTATACCAGGCGAAGGTGGGATACCCAAACTACCATTTGGACCATTTGACGGCGCCATCCTTGAGCCATTGCGGGATTCGCTTCTCTCACTTCTCCTTTCGCTTCTGATTGAATACGGACCTATAGAGCTGGCGTCTGAAGGTCGGCGCATACGGCTTGGACCTCTAGGTGGCATATCCACAGGTGTGCCATTCCCATTCCTGCTTGGAGGTCCTCTTGTAGATACAGGACTACCCATGCGACTTCTATCACCAGCAGTGAATTGCGGAAACCTTCGCTCCAATTCATAAAATACATCTGTAGCTAAATCTCTAAACCTGGGCGGTGGCAGCGTAGACAACTTCTGGCGGGCCTGATTTCGTTTCGGGTGGAACGTGTTCTTCGGCAACAAGTACGGCGGAGGTCCTTGATCATTTCTCTGTCCATTGGGAGTCCTTCTCCCTGCCTGCTGCCTTCGTAGAAGTTCATCAAAGACATCGGTACTGAGTTCCTGGAATTGAACGGGAGACAATCGTAGCAACTTATCTCGCGCTCTGTTGGGTCTAGGATTCCCCTTCTCATCTCTCAATGACGCTGCCAGATATCGTTTCAATGAAACGTAGTGCTCTGATAGTAAAGCCTCGAATTGTTCATCTTTCTTGTCCTGCCCACTTTCGCTTCCTGCGTATAAACCTGTGCCAATACTTGAACGACCGATGGAGCTTGGAGGAGATGGATTGCCAGGGCTGCCACCAGAAGGACCTCTAGACGGGAAATCTCCCCCATTCATTGTACCGTTTGATCCGCTCGATATCGGCGGTGAAGCAAGTTGTCCGCGATTCATCTGGTAGGGCGAATCGTTATCGTCTTGATATTTTTCAATTCCTGACCATTCGTTGTTGCTTCCTATTGAAACTGGTGACAAAGGTCCATTGCGATTGTTCATCGTAAAGTCGCGGTTATGAATGGAATGAGCAACCCTTTGGACTCGGAGAATAGATCAGCGCAACCCTTCGATTATTGAAAAACAAGAGCGAGACACCTCGAAAGCTTAATAGCTGACGGTTAAGGTGCGAGAGAATGATATATCGTGTTATGTGATCAACACATGCGATGCAGACAATTTCAGGCTGGAACAACTCAATAGTCTCCTTGAAACGAAGTGAATTGACAAGGTCGTTCGGTCAAAGCGAGATGCGAAGCTGAAGGATTGGAAAATCGGGGCAATTAGAATGGTCGTATTTTGAGGAATGAATTCGTCTTGAAGTGGTAATGACTGTGTAACTGAATTGTTGTACAGCGACAATGAATTTTACCTTGAGCAGGTAGGTTGGTCGGTCGGTCGAGGAGGAGAACAAATAAACTGTGATATGACGTTTCTACACTTTATTCTAGAAATCGCAATTCATAGGTTAATTTTTTTGAAAGAAGAACAGAGAATTTTGTTTGTGCGTAAGAAAGTAAGTACCGTTCCAATTCCAATGCAGAAAGTAAAGTGGTGGATGGATAGCTGGCAGGCAGGCAGGCAGGCTGGATGGATGGATGGATGGATGGATGGATGGCTGCTTGTCTTGATTTGATGCAGGTGATAGCTAAATTCTAAGTAATTTCGAATGTATCCTGGGGATTCTTCTTTTCTCCAGTTGTCCCGCCAGTCAATCAAAATAGGTCCTAAAGTCTCAAAAGATACTTTTCTCTCCTGAATCTTGGGTTCACCAGGTTCACCAGGTTCACTTTCGCGTTTAGGCTAGTGGTAGCTACCTTTTGCGGAATTGAATGTGGTTGGTTTGTTTTCCAGGAACGCCCGTCGCCCAGCTTCCAGGGGATTTATTAGATTGGGTCGTGGGCGGGTATTGAGATGGAAAAGAAGGCCGACAAAGATTCTATACCCGTGTAGTCGATCGATAAGGAAACGGCTTGAAATTAGGGGGAATTGAGTTTGGGGATATTGATCAGATTTGTTCAACATGTGGAAAGCTTGAAGTAGTATGGCATAGCAAAATGATTTGTAACTTATAGATAGACATGTGACATCCAATACCTACGTATGTGGGTAGAATTTCCATATTCCATTATATAACCTTATGCCAAAACAGTATTTCCCATCTTCTGCAAGGACTCTCTGCGATACATGAACAGCGGCGTACATGTACGAATTATGTCATGGAAACGGTGATACAAGACAATTCAAGGCGAAACAGAACTTCTAGGCAAAAGGAATATCCCAACTTCCCGCTCTGCACTCCAGCTCAGCTCACCTCGATTGTTCAGACCATACTGACTCAGAATACTCAGCAGCTAGATATAGATGTACTCGAGTATACGATTATGCGATTATACGAGGATACGAGATAGATAGATATTTATCACCTCGTAAGAGTGAGTACCTAGGAAAGTCATCGCAATTCATCAAATGCGATGATGCATACATACCTACCTACGTAGGTAAATTCGTAAACTCCATATATTCTTACCTCCAAATCCCTACGATAGACCAGGAAAATCAGAAAATCAACCAAAGTCCAAAGATCTTTCGCATCTTCAAAGGAAAATCCGTTCTTCCATTTTCATCATTCCTCATTTCCTTCGCCAGCTCCAGCGATCAAGAGCAAGGGGAACCCACCATACGCGGCTTCTACTTGGTCAATCCACGCGGTACCTTGTTCGGATGTACTTAATTTGTGCAGATGTGGATGTGCAGCTTTTGGTAGATATCGTCTATAATTGGAATAATAATGAATTGAAAGTATTCAAGTATTCGTTTACGAGTATATCACTATGAATTCCATCTACATGGTACAAACTCTAAGTATATACAACATCACACATTGCATTAATCCCAGTGTTCCCTCCCTTAAAACATCAAACCTCAAACCTGTCATACTCAGTCACAAGTACAAACCTAGTATTCCTCCGTGAAGAGGAAGAGATAGAGGAGAAGGCGTTTCGACTCATGTCAAGAAGGATCTCTACGAAAATGTCGCTATAGTTGCATACCTAATCAACCCGGTGATTCGACTTCGATTAATCCGACTTCCAATCTTATAGAATAGAGTCCTTTTCTGCTTCTAGATTTATCCCTTCTTCCACAAGTTCTAGACTATCCATGGCCGGAGTAGAACTTTGAGAACTTCGTTAGCCCTTTCGACGTTTTCAATCATCGGCCCCCATACTCATCAATCTAATCCCAGCATATCAATTTCCTTGGCCTGTCTCTTTATTTCCCTTTAAGAACCGTTCAAGCACAGCCATGTTCTACTTATTAATTTCAACGGGTTCTGGGTCACCGGTCATTTAGTGTGTGAGTAGATCATGCTAGGTACGAATCTGAACAATGCATTATGCGATTGCGAGTGATATCAAGTATTTTATTCCTCCATCTTTCTTTCTAAGAAGACGCTCATTCATATCATATCCCCGCCCTGAACGCCACAAGAAATGGGTATACCCTCGTAATCTCAACGCCACTATAAGAAAATCGTAATGCATGTGTTCAAAACCATGCTAATGTCCACACTGCTGGTAGATTTGGCCATCTTTCCTGCCACTCTCCGATAATTTCCGGCACTCTTTCATCAAACCCGGCCCTGCTATGGGCACTGCCGCTGTCAAAGCCGGTAGGATTGAGTTCCCTTTCCTCGGCAGCAGCTTTATTGAGGGAATCGGCAAGGTCAAGAATTCCCCGGCCGCCGACTAGAGCCTCTTCATGATTATCTTTGATATCAACATTGATGACATGCACGGGACGATTTAATGGGGAGCCACGATTGAGGAGGTCATCCACGACAGCATCCCAGCATCTTTCTTCACACGTAATAACAACGTCAACGACACCTCCTTCTACTCCTTCGGCACCTTGATCTGTATTATGTTGTAGTCTTGGAACACCGACTTGCCAATCTTGCCATCTCTCTGGGCCCCATTTTACTGATCTATTCCGGCCAAGCATATTCAAGATACCATTCGCGCGATAGAGACGCGGATCTTTAGATTCGAGTTCTTTATACATGCTATCATATGAAGTCTTGTTGAATTGGTAGACATTAGGCTGTGTTATGGAGGGTCCTGGTAATCTAACTAAAGAACCTGTTCCAAATGATATTACAGGGTAGTGAGCAGCAGCGAGACGTAGGTGTGATTCCATGGATCTGTAAGAGAATCATGTTAGATGCAAACTAGAAGACACATGAGATATATTGACATGAGATATATTGAGCGTACCTATTATTGTTGCTGGCACAAACAGTGCAGAATTTTAGTTTGAAGCCTCCCGAATCTACTCGTTCACCGTTTGACGCGAACTGAGGTGTGCTACCGCCATTGGCAGACGATACTGGAGCTTGAGACATGATTGTTCGGGAATTGTAGTTGTTGTAAAGTTATTACAATCTAGATATTTGCGGGGACAGAAGAAGTTCGGCCACCTTTCGTCTCGACACGGGGTTCAAACTTCCAATGGTACCGAATTCAAGTTGTGGATATTACTGCAGAAGCTATGTTCAAAGTCAGCTACGTGTCAATACACTACAATGTGTGTGTTCATAAACAGAATTATTTTGCAGAGCATTCAGATATTGTTAAGTTGCGTAAATAAAAATTGTGTCATCAGTTTTTAATAAGACAGCTCCAATAATAGGAATCATCAGGTTGCTACAGCGGGACGAGGCAGGAAGAAAGGAAGGAAGGAAGAAAAAGAGAAGACCAAAGAAGATATTGGTTCCTTTCAAGATATTGTACATACCAAACATTTCAGATTCTACTGTAGAGTTTCAAGTAGAGTGAGAATCGCAAGAGACATTGATTCAAGTCAAATCAAGAGTGATGTTGACGATGGTGGTGTTGTATGATTGATTGATTGATTGTAATGTTGTACATGTGCGATACGGCGTAAAACATTGAAGAGCTTGAAAGCTTATTAATAATGAAGCTAAGAAAATTTTCGGTTAAGAGAGAGATAGATCAGCCAATGATATTGAATTCTGTTGAATAGCTTGCCATCCTGCTTAGCTCTTACGGAGAGTAGCACATACAAGGTATATACTAGGTCTCTAGGTAGGTATCGTAGCATCCAAAGAGATGAACCAACTGGAAAGCACATGCTGATCAACTACTTGCAGCCGGTGGCACCTAGGTGCATGTTTACATCAATTTGGAGTTTTATTCTGGACACATGATTGGCTCTGCTGCAAGTCTGAAACGTTGAAACGGAACTTGGGAGGGAAAAAACCGATCATTACCTACCCTTTGGTGTTGGTGGGAATGATAATGGCGTGTTACCGAAATAGAAACAGAGATGGAAATGGAAATGGAAATGGGAATGGAAATGGAAATGGAAATTGTTCTGTAAAGTCATCCACGGAAAAGCCCACTCAACTCAAACTGATCAATCGCATCAACGAGAAGCGGACTTTCCAACCCGAAACCGAAGAGAGCGCATGTATTTTCACACCAAGTGACTTGTAAGCCACTCGCCTCAACAACGAAATGGAAAGACGAGAAAGAGCGAGGTGTGCGTCTGATGAGAGAAGGGTGAAGATTGATGAGTGAACACACACATGTCTTGAAACTTCTATAATATTTGCTTTGCCCTTACCTACTTCGCTCTATTATGATCGATCAACCTCGCCAGCTTCTTCTAGGCATTGTACTCCGTTCAAGCTGGAGAGAGGTAGAAACGACTTTGTATGACTTACCATTATCACTCTAGTACAAACTTCAAACTTCAAGCTTCTTCTCTTCCTTTCCTTTCTTCTTCCCATTTTTCCGTCCTTTTGCTTTTATACTCTGGGGTAAATCTGTCCGTACATCGTATATAACTCTTTTGATTCGCATATCGGCCTCCCTCCCTCCCTGTGTTGACAGTCCTACCGGTTTCCTCCATCTGACAATCCATCCATACATCCCAGACTGCTATTTGCATACATTCATTGCCTAATTTCCATGTCAAATACTCGAAGTGTGCGGGGTCCCTTGTCGAAATCCACCCAAGAGAATTTTGAAAAAGGACCTCGAGCCTTGAACCCTCGGCGCTTCGTAGACAACTCACGCAGCTTCAAAGGAACTTCGCCTTAGTCATTTTGAACTCTAGAGCGTTAATTCAAAGCAAAGCATCCCTTCGGCGCAAAGACTACTCTGTTGATTTGTGAATCTTCAAAGTCAGCCATCTCCTGCATCTGCAATTCCAGAGACTCTTTTCTTTTCTATTTGCTTCATTGTTTCGTTGGAGCCCTGTTGGTTTGTAATTGGATACCTTGAAAGTTGAGGGAAAAGGTCTGACAATACGCACGAGCTTCCTCTGATCTTTTTTAACATTGAATTCGAACTCCAATCAACCTGTACGCTCACACAAGTTCACAACCCACCTCAATTATTGACAAGCGCTATCGAGAATTTGACATTCGTCCCCTCAGTATTTATCCTCTTGCAACTGCGCGCCTGCCGCGCTAGCACCAACTCGTTTGAACGACTATCTAACATTCCTAATATACATCGTCGACGATATTCTTCTCCGTCTCATACTCGACATCATTGAAGTCAACCTCGGGCTTGCTTTAAGCGCTAGGACCATTAGATCCTCCCTTGAATCTCGAATCTTGAACGACAAGTGACGGTCTTTCTGCCAGCCTTCTTACTGCGAAATATAACGGCAAGCTTGCTGGGCAAGTGATTGTTCATATTGGGCCCATTTGTCTGAATCAAAGCATACAATTTTGTTCTCAAAGCGCAGCTTTCAAGCTGATCGCAAACATATTTGCTTCAATATGGCAGCCGTAATTTCTCCAACGTCTCCAGCTACGTCCCCACCACCAGTTAGTTCTCCCTCATCGAATCCTAACCATCCTTCCCTCCCACCTTTAAACACTTCACCAACCACAAAGCGACCAAATTTGCAACGTCCTACATCTCATGCCTCAAAGAATAGGTTATCACAATACTCGAATTATTCTGCGCCGTCACGTTCGCGACCTCCTTCACATATCTTTCCAGTCTTTCATTCTAGTCTTTCATACACGACAGTTCGCGATTTCGCATACCCTTCTTTGCATCCTATGCACTATGGGCCGCCTCTAGAGCCGTCTCAACCGCCATCGGGCCTCTCGACACCAGCTAGCGAATCGCATAAACGATTGTCAGATCCTCCAACTTCATGGGATAATCGCGGATCTTGGGGACCTGGTCCATGGGGTGGTGATGGATTTATGAAAGGGGAACAATTGGCGCCTATACACTTTGGTGATGGACCTCCGTGGAGTGAAGACGAGGACCTACAAAGTCCGGTTGTCGTTAGTTCACGCCACAGGAAGCACAAATCATCAGTGGGAGAATATGGAGGACATTCGCGTGGGAGAGGGAGAACGCCCAGGGATGGAGAGCGCAGAACAAGCATGCTAAGTCAAGAGAACTTTGAGGATGACGGAGGATATTTTGCCGGCGGCAGTGGTGATAATAGCGAAAGATATTATGTCAATCAAGGAGAGGAGGCAGATGGACCTGGTGGAGAATATGTTACATACCCCTCGGAGTTGGCAAGACGCTCAATGCTAGCACCGTATAATGTTCCAGGTCAACGAGATTCTCACTTCGCCGGCCTTTTGCCCAGTCGCTCATATACAGACGAGAGTGGCCAAGATTACCGCTCGGAGTCTGATGCTTCGAGTACTGCATCATCGCCCGGCATGACTAGACATGATGAATCGAGATATTCTCGTGATTATCAGTTTACAATCGCCTCGCCGGACGAAGAGATGCATGGTAAAGCCGTTGCATTATTTGACTTTGAACGAGAGAATGAAAATGAATTGCCTTTGGTGGAGGGGCAAGTAATCTGGGTCTCATATCGACATGGTCAAGGCTGGCTTGTCGCAGAAGATCCCAAGACACAGGAAAGCGGTTTGGTTCCTGAAGAATATGTTAGGCTACTGAGAGATATTCAAGGAGGCTTAAATAGTTTAACAGGACAAGTTGAGCTGGCTAGTCCCGTGGGAGGTGACTCAGGTACACCTACTCAAGCGGAACACAATCAAGCATTCGGACACAACCCAAGTTCAAGTAATGGAAGCAACGGATATCAACAACCTGTAGTATCTACCTTCTCGACATCCTCTAAAGATTTACACCTATACCCTCAACATCTTCTGGGAACGCAGGCTGGTCAAGCTCCACCTCAAGTTATACATTATCATGGGCAACGAGGTGGCAGTCAAGCCAATACGCCTACTATACCTAGCTCCCACGAGGGTCTCATAGAAAGACCTAGTAGTCGAGAAGCTAAAAATGGGCAGCTTGAAGAGCAGTCGAGTAGTAATACAGCACCTATTGAATCCAGTCACATAGATTCGGAAGTAAAGCTCTCACCATCAGTCGCCGTTCAAGACGCCGAAACCCCCCTCGATTCTTCTAATGATAGCACAAACGAGACACACGAAACTCCGGCTCGATAACCCAGACTTACATTGCTCACGAGTATTATGAATTAGTAGACGAGATGGAATATGAATTTTGGGTGGGATTCTTCGGTTTTGATAGTGATACCAGGTGATTGGATGGATGTGTGTGTCATATATGATACGTTATTATAGGATTGAATTGAATTGAATTGAATTGAATCGAATTGAATCGAATCGAATGGGAGATCGGGATGGATCATCTAGATTTTCTAGGAAAGGGAGTACAAAGGAAAAGGAACTTTCTGATATGTCTTATCTCTGTCTCTGTGATGCTATGGTAGGAGTAGGATGAAATGGGAAAGGAAGGGAAGGGAAGGGAATTCTAGGGGCTGGTGGATTAGCATGATATTGATGATGGATGAATGGATGGATGGATGGATGGGGTCTAATGATGCATTTTTTGATAGGAAGAATTATGCTATAACGTTTTTATGTGTTCATGCTTTACGTATCGTTTTTTGGTCTTTGTGTATTGTGTTGTATTGTGTTATATTGTACTGTATTGTATTGTATTGTATTGAGTATGTGGATGAGTCGATATGTTCGTACCTTTTAGTGTATCCTAATATTGTTGTATATATTTTTTTCACTTTGGGTTTAGGGGGGTGAGAAGAGGAAGGAGGAAAGAGGAAAGAGGGAATTAATTATTCTATTACTTTAATATTTGAATACCTATCTATCTATATGGTATTTTTTTCTCTCCTCTCGTTTCTGATGTATAGTTGTTAATGTGGATGCGGATGTGTTTGGGTACTGGGTGCTGGATACTGGATACTGGATAGCTCGTATCTGTATGGTTACTATGTAGGTAGTTCGTGAGGAACAATTTCTTGATGAATGGGTAGATGAGTATGTGTAGGTAGGTAGATACTACTAGGTAGGTTTTTACGAGTAGAAGAAGAGATATTGATTGGGTTTTCATGGATTGGATTGGACTATTGGGTTATGGGAAGATCAGATCAAGCGATGATATACTAGGTAGGTAGTTTACCCACTGATCTTGGACTTGGGGCATGGGAGATGGGAGATAGGATAGGTAAGTTGTGGTTGTGTTTCGGAGCGTAGCGAAAGAAACTTATGCGTCGGATTTTACGGAATTTTTATATGGCGTCATAAATATCATACTTTCTATACCCAGGAATCCAATTTGTATATAGTTATATAATCTGTATATAGTTATATGATATCTTTTATTACGGGTTCAATAAAGAATCAAAAGAATAAAGAATTAAAAAAACAAAGAATAAGTTTATCTTTATTTCTTTAATATTAAAGACTTACTAATAATACTAATAATACTAATAATACTAATAATACTAATAATACTAATAATACTAATAATACTAATAATACTAATAATACTAATAATACTAATAATACTAATAATACTAATAATACTAATAATACTAATAATACTAATAATACTAATAATACTAATAATACTAATAATACTAATAATACTAATAATACTAATAATGAATCTAATTTGTTATTTTTATATAATATAATATATATAAAGGCTAGCCCCCAAGCCATCGATCTTCACTACACTCGAGTTTTAATTTTCATCTTAAATTTAAATTAGCTTTTCAGTTTTTTTATTAGATTTATTAGATTTATTAGATTTAAAAAATTGAATAATAAGAATAATAAGAATAATAAGAATAATAAGAATAATAAGAATAATAAGAATAATAAGAATAATAAGAAAAGAATAATAAGAATAATAAGAATAATAAGAATAATAAGAATAATAAGAATAATAAGAATAATAAGAATAATAAGAATAATAAGAATAATAAGAATAATAAGAATAATAAGAATAATAAGAATATATTAGACGCTCCGAAACACTGGCGAGCTAGCTCGCCCCGAAATCTAGATATACGGGATGTTTATGTGTATGTAGTAGTATGATTAATTGATATTTTTGCTTTTGCTTTTATTGTTTGCTTTTTGTTGAGTAGATGAATGCATGAATTTATTGCTTTCTTGCTTTCGTGATTTTCTTGGACTTTTTGTGGTTCGTTAGCTGTATACTTTGAGTGTTGCTTGTTGAATTTTGGAGGGGAGAGGGTGGAGAGATGGATGAATGAGTAAATGGATGAATAAATGGATGGATGAATATGCATGGAACCTAAATTCTAGATGAGTGGTTTAGCTATCAGCTACTAGCCTAGCCGTATTAACCTATTTACCTTTATTGAGAGGAGGGCGGATGATGGAGATGGATGTTAATAGAGAGAAGAAGAAGAAAGAAGAAAGAGAAAAAGAGAGACTCTATTCACATACATATGCACATACACATTTATATACAAACACCCAAGACATCCCAAAACAGCATATCGAATTGATATACATATCTAGTAGGAAATGAGTACTAGGTAGAAGAACTTTATGAATACATATCAGTCCCTAATCCTAATACCCATCTAATATCTGATATAGTATATCTAGTATTTATTAATTAAATACATAGCTATAACCTGTAATATCAATATTAATATAATATACGACACACACCTACTCATATCTATGATTCTGCTATACATCCTGGGGTTTGACGACCTAGCTAACTACTCATTGACATTGATATTGATATTGACATTGATATTAACATTGATCTCGATATTAAGTATTAAGAGAACATTTGATTTTTTCCGGGTTTCCCAGTCTAGCTACCACATAGCTAGTAGACAAGAAAGAGGGGCATTTCCTTTTCTTTTCTTTTCTTTTCGCTTGAAGATAGCTATATACGCGGTACATTTATAGTATATACATAGGTACCTATGCATTTACGAATTGGCGTAAGCAGATGATGATGAAAATCTTATATCAGGGCCCGAGATTTTTAACGTTGTGATAAACTGAATGAGCTAAATGTATGATAGATTTATATGACTGTTATATTATTCATCTTGATCAATATGATATTATGCCAACAACCTGAGTATTTATCTACTCACTCCATCATCAGGGAAATTGCGTGGAGTGGAAAGAGACATGGAGATTATGATAAATACTACATGATTCAAGATTGCAATTTGAAAAGTTGGAGATAAAGTTGTGATATCTGGTTGATATTTCTATGATTTAATAAATTGAAATGGTATGTTTGCAATACAACGACTTCCCCTTCATAAAGAAGGTTATTGAAGTACGGACATTGTACTCGGTGTCACCACCTGAGATACTTGCATGATTTTGCTTTCAGCACATCTTCGGCACAACCAACAGTCATTGAAAAAAGACCGAATTGTAATTTGACATCCGTGCTAGACCTTCACTCAATTGCCTAAGCTTCTTACTTGATTGACTTCCTCTCCATTCACACTCACAACTTTGACCCCTTTCAAACCAAGCTTCATAGTCTCCCATGATTTAGGATCAACAGCCCGAGTTCCCTCTTCCAGAATGAAAGTGTTGAAACCTTCCTCCGCGGAATCCTCGGCAGTGCACTTGACACAATAATCGGCAGCTAGACCTACTACGTAGACATGGGTTATGCCCTCATTTTTTAAATGGGCTGCCAATCCACTGTCACTGCACCGAGGACTCTTCAAAGGATCGTAAAATGCTGAATACATTTCCACATCAGGATTTTGTCCCTTGAGAATAGTTTGGGTAAACTTGGTTGTGTCCAGTTCAAATGGGAACTCGGAGCCGAGCGTATCCTGAATGCAATGAGGAGGCCAGAGACGTGTTTGATAAGTCTCGGAAGGGTTGGAAGGGTTGATGATCGTGGTAAAATCTGCAAATGGCTGTTTACCTGCATGGTTTGAAGCAAAAGATGTATGATTTGAAGGATGCCAATCTTTGGTGGCGATCTTAAGGTGAAATGGAAGACTGAGGAGGCTGTTGATGATAGGAATTGTATCTCTACCATTGACCACAGCTAAAGAACCATTCTGGAGATTTGTTAGTATGAATTGATGGATGGATGGATGAAAGAAGAGTGGAGTGGATAGGAATTGTAACTTACTGGAGGTAAAAAATCCTCTTGAAGATCTACAACAATTAGAGCAGGCTTGAAAATGGACGTATCAGGAGTTGACATGATAGCGTAAGTTGGATTGATACGATGGATCAAATTAAATTCCCAAAGTTTATTCTTATCCGACAAAGTATGAACCAACCTGTGGTCTGTTTTGAGATTGTATCTGTGTGGACTCCGACCATGATAAAAGATTGAAGTTTGACATCAACCCCACCCACGGATGCCGACACATACCCATAAATAGTATGATCATGTGATTTAGTTTTTGATGGAAGTTCTTGATGGAAGGAAGAGAAAAGAAAGGAACGGGAATGGAAATACACTTTGCGGCATCTTTGCGGCATATATATGCATATATGGGTATGCGGCATACGTAGACAGAAGAAAGAGAAAGCTTATTTCCGTTCCGAGACGGATAATTGATGGTGATTTGTCGAGATGGGACATGAGCCCGTATTATTATATGATTGAACAAGAACTTCTGATATCTGCTTGATGAATTGATCAATGAAAAGAAAGAAGCTGGAAGGGAATGGAAATACACTTTGTGATATATAGGTATGTGCATATATGTACGAAGTATATGCGGTATACGTAGACAGAGTAAAGAAGAAAAAAAGCTTATTTTCGATACGGATAACTGATGCTGATTTGTCGGGACAGGACAATGAGCCCGTATCATGATATGATTGGATGGGAACTTTTGATATCTGCTCGATGAATTGGTCAATGAAAAGAGACTTGTTCCTGCAGGAGACGTCTCGGACAGCGAGGACAACAGTCGGAACAGCTGTCCAGCGTGATGAGCCCTTGCGGTTTTATATCTGGATCCAGCCATCACTCTCAACACACTCGGCATACTTTGGTACTTGTCGATTGATTGGTGGGTGTGGGATGGAAAAGATATGAAGATATAAGAAGACGTGAGAGTGAATGGCCAAACAAAAGAACAATGTGAAGATGGGATAGGAGAACAATATGAAGGATCTGAGAGAAAGAAATTGAATCTTTTCCCCGGGCGGAAAAACCCTCAAAGTTGGTTGGAGTTGGATTGAATGGATTGAATGGAATGAATGGAATTGAATTGAAAAAAGATTTCTCCAAAAGATCGACTTTTCTAATTTCCTTTATCACCACCCATGCTGGACACAAACTCTACTCCCTTTCCGGACTAACTCGCGGATAGTGTCACCGCCTAACTAATGATTAATTTGATCCCTGATTGACAAGCAAAAAGTCAACAAATATCTCATGCCGCCTGTCCATTATGGAGTCCCTTCTTCTTAAAGCTTAAACTCTCGCGGTGGATTCTTATGTGATAACGATTACTTGAACATTACATGACAATCAATTTCCATTGCGTCCTTGGATCTCTTTCTCTTGGTCACATAAATCAAGATATCCCACCTCCAGGAGATATTGTGCCACTCTTACCTTTGGTTATCTCTCTTCTTTTTTTGCTTGGTCTCAACACCAGCACATCACTCATTTTTCTCCTTTTCAAAAGGTCTCTCGTCGCCATTCTTGGGGTGGTAGAGACAGATAACTTCAAAAGCACACCGGTAGGTTGCATTCTCTCACAAGCCATGCATTTACATTTACCTCAGAACTCTCGATTGTGCGAGCTTTCTTTCCCGTCAGCTTAGCACATGAGAACGGGTCTCCCCAGCTTTGCTCATTTGCTTGACACGCGCTTTTGGCTCATATACTAACGGTTTCTTCGCATCCAGCCTCTACGGAACTACATATTTCCCTTGTCGATGGCTTTGATTTAGAATACAACTAAGCCTGCTTGTACTTCTTTCACGATGATCGGAAATACGTTCCTACCCTCGCGGTTCAGGGGAACCTCGTCTACCACCGAAACCAATGCCTCCCCGTCATGGCTCAATAGAAAGGTCACCCCACTTCTCCAGCTTCTCTCCCGACGAGCATGTCTACATCCAATCCATACTATCGTTATAGTTGCGGTTTTGGCGAGTACAACGTACATGGGACTTTTGGACAGTAGTCTCTTTGATGCGGTGAAAGCCAGTGGTGCCGATAAAGCAACATGGAGCTCTCTTGTTGCCGGTAATCGTCAATTGCAGATTGGTTCCGAGACCGCCTGGAAATGGCAGAGCTCGGATGTAGAAATTGTGCCATCTAACGTTGACCACTTGGCACTTTTGACTTTCGTCTTCCCAGACTCTGCTGCCGCCAATTCTTTGCAGGCAGCTCCATCAGCGGATTCGGTGCCATTACCACAAAACCTTTCAGTTACTCCTCTCCCAACAACTTCAATCCCTTGGGCTTCCTTGTCACAGGACAGTACTTTAGCTTTTGCTGTCCCCTACAATCAAGCCCCTGAATTCCTCGCCAAATCTCAAGAGTTGCCCAATTCCGCTGCTACAATTCCCACCGATCCTAATGCTCGTCAAGCACAGGAGGCAGAGCTTATCAAGGAGAAGAAGATGTGGATCATGAAAGCTGCAAAAGGAGATGAGACCAAAGGAGGATTGAGAAAATGGGCATCAAACGCTTGGACTGAATTTGTTGACCTTCTCAAGAATGCCGAGACACTCGACATCATCATCATGGTACTCGGTTACATTTCGATGCATCTTACCTTTGTCTCGTTGTTTGTCTCCATGAGGCGTATGGGCTCAAACTTTTGGCTTTTTGCTACCACGCTCTTCTCATCAGTTTTTGCTTTCCTCTTTGGGTTGATCGTCACTACAAAATTGGGTGTTCCCATGAACATGGTGTTGTTGTCGGAAGGTCTTCCTTTCCTCGTTGTGACCATTGGATTTGAGAAGGCTATTGTCTTGACAAAGGCGGTTTTGTCGGCGTCACTCAATACCCAAAGACCTAATGCTGAAGTGGCAGAGAAGAAGCTCGGGGTATCTCCTACTTCCATTCAATATGCAGTCCAAGTTGCCATGAGCGAGAAGGGATTCGAGATTGTCAGGGATTATGCCATTGAAATTTGCATATTGATTGCGGGAGCTGCTTCGGGCGTCCAGGGAGGTCTTCAGCAGTTCTGTTTCTTGGCTGCCTGGATTCTATTCTTCGACTGTGTTCTCTTGTTCACTTTCTATACTGCAATTTTGAGTATTAAGCTTGAAATTAACCGAATCAAACGTCATGTTGCTCTACGCCAGGCATTGGAGGACGACGGAGTTAGCCCACGAGTAGCTGAGAACGTTGCCAAAAGTGACGACTGGCCCCAGGCTGACGGTTCCAAGACCAGCGAGGCAAACATCTTTGGCCGTGAGGTCAAGGGTAGCAGCATCCCAAAGTTCAAGGGGTTGATGGTTTCTGGGTTTATCATCATCAATGTTCTCAACCTCTGCACTATCCCATTCCGAGGTAGTAACAGCAGTATTCAATTTCCAGGTGCAAACATGCTTTCAGGGTCTAGTTTCTCAAGTGTCCTGACACCACCGCCAATGGATCCCTTCAAAGTTGCATCAAGCGGTTTGGATATGATTGCCGAGATGGCGAAAGCCCATGATAAGTCAACAATTGTGACCGTACTCACGCCAATCAAATATGAGCTCGAGTATCCTTCAATTCATTACGCTGAACCGGCACCTAAGCATCGTAAACATGCTGCGGATGACTTTGATGCTGAATTTGCCGAATATGGAATGGGTGGTCGAGTTGTGGACAATCTTTTGAAGAGTTTTGAGGACCCCGTTCTTTCTAAATGGATTGTCGTCGCTCTCACCTTGAGCGTTGTGCTCAATGGATATCTTTTCAATGCCGCTAAATGGAGTATTGGCAAGGAACCACTTCAAATGCCCCCACACCATACTGTTGATGCCAAGGAGCTCGACCAGGCTGAGAGATTCAACAACTCTGCTTCTGTATTGAAGTTGGCAAACATCGATCCTAATACTTCCGATAATGTACCAATGACCCCCGTGAGAACGCCAACTATGACGCCAGCTATGACGCCGGCTTCTACTGACGACGAGGATGAGGGATTAAGTATGCCTGACAAGAGTACCACTGAATCTCAATTGCGCCGAAGTCAGCAAGAGCTTGAAAAAATGCTCGAAGCGAAACGTACACCAGAGTTGAATGATGCAGAGCTCATAGAGTTATCCATGCAAGGCAAGATTCCTGGCTACTCGTTAGAAAAAACTCTCAAAGATACCACTCGTGCCGTAAAAATCAGACGTGCCATCATCTCACGAACCCCTGCTACCTCAGAAACCACACATCTTCTCGAAACTTCATTGTTGCCCTACAAACACTACAACTACGATCGTGTTCTGGGCGCCTGCTGCGAAAACGTCATCGGTTACCTTCCATTGCCTCTTGGTGTCGCTGGTCCAATTGTCATCGACGGACAAAGTTTCTTCTTGCCCATGGCTACCACTGAAGGTGTTCTTGTCGCAAGTACCAGTCGTGGCTGCAAGGCCATCAACTCTGGTGGTGGTGCTGTTACCGTCTTGACTGGTGATGGTATGACTCGTGGCCCATGTATTGCTTTCGAAACTCTTGAACGTGCAGGAGCCGCTAAGGTTTGGCTTGATTCCGAAGCTGGTCAGCAAACTATGACCGAAGCATTCAACTCTACCAGTAGATTCGCAAGACTTCAATCTATCAAGACAGCCTTGGCAGGTACCAATCTCTACCCTCGTTTCAAAACCACCACCGGAGATGCAATGGGAATGAACATGATCTCAAAGGGTGTTGAGCACGCTCTGAAAGTTATGTCTACTGAATGTGGCTTTGACGATATGGAAATCATTTCGGTCTCGGGTAACTTTTGTACCGACAAGAAGGCTGCTGCTGTTAACTGGATCGATGGACGTGGTAAAAGTGTTGTTGCTGAAGCAATTATCCCCGGTGATGTCGTTCGCAAGGTTCTCAAGACTGATGTAGATGCTTTGGTCGAACTGAACATTGCCAAGAATCTCGTTGGAAGTGCAATGGCCGGTGCTATGGGTGGTTTCAATGCCCACGCTGCTAATATCGTCGCTGCAATCTTTTTGGCTACTGGTCAAGACCCCGCACAAGTAGTCGAGAGCAGTAGTTGTATCACACTCATGAAGAAGTAAGTTGCTTATATTAAAGTTCAGGGACATATTCACTAACAATATTCTACAGTCTTCGCGGTAACTTGCAAATCAGTGTTTCCATGCCTTCTATCGAAGTTGGTACTTTGGGCGGTGGTACTATTCTTGAACCTCAAAGTGCCATGTTAGATCTTCTTGGCGTTAGAGGCTCTCACCCAACGAACCCTGGTGACAATGCCCGCAAACTTGCACGTGTGATCGCCGCAGCTGTCTTGGCTGGTGAACTTTCTTTGTGTAGTGCTTTGGCAGCTGGACATCTCGTACAGAGTCATATGGCACATAACAGAAGTGCCCCAGCCACAAGATCCAATACCCCAGGCCCAGCAAGTGGTTCGCAAACACCAGTGACTGCAGCAATGACAGCTATGCGAGAGAGAGCTGGTCTGGCTGCCATGTCTCCGGCTTCTGTCCTTAGAAATGCAGGAGCGAAGAAATAGGAGATAGTATTTAATGTATAGGTATAGAGAAGTGCGATTGCATGAAAAGAATGGCGTTAGGGAATGTTCATAGCAACGGGACTGTTCTTTCAATGATATCTAGCGGAGGCTTATGATACGTGTTTTTCTTTTTGGCTTATGGAACACTTCTTGTTTCTCACATTTGAACTTTGTTGAATGGACTCAGCTATAGAAGAGTTGTTAGATATTTTAGATTCAAATGAGACTTGATTGTCACCAGCTTGATTTGCGATTTTTCAGCGCTGTGAAATTGGTTTTTAACTTACTTCTAATCGGAATCGAGATTTGTGACAATACTTTTGACCTTCCCATCACTTTTTATCACTTTTCCATGACAAGGTTGAGATGATATGCATGCATACGTATGGTCGAAGCATTAATTAATTTAATCCCGTTGTTGCTCTCGCTCTTCCTCTTCTTCGCTAGTCTTATATATTCAGCAAACACATTATTAGATATATACTCAAGGGCACCCAAGCTCTTCCAACCCAGCCATTAGCTCGCTTCATCTAATGAACATTTTCTCTCAACCCACTCGTCCTCAAACTATGTCCTGTCATGACCAATGGCTCCTTTTGAATTTGACCACTATGCGCCGCCGCCTGTGCATTTCCGTTCCCAGCACCATTCTCCATGCCCGATCCAAGTCCTATTCCCCCATTTCCAAGTTCCAATGCCTTTCTCACCACATCACCGACCCCCGTCGTCACCGCGCTATCTTCGCTACCCCTTCGACTTCCTCTGATGGTTCCAGCACCTCCAATTAGTAATCCTTTCACCCCGCCTCTCTTCCTTTCTGGTAACTCTTCGGAGCCTGCGCTACAGACGTATAAAAGGTATTTTAGATTCGGAACTGTTTGTCTGATGTCTAGGACACGGAGACCCTGAGATTCGGCTAGTGCTTCGATATTTTTGTTCAGGAGAAATACGCCCCAGTCGAAGCGAAAGCGAATGACAGATTGGGGGTAGAGGGGGAAAATTCTTTGCCGGTCTTGTACGAGGGATATAGGGTCGTGGATGAGAGATCGAGAAGCATGTGGTGTGATGGGGTAGGGGAGTGGAACTCCTAGATAGTACTGGAGATGATTGACCAATTGCGCGACATAGCCTAGAGCGGCGGCTACGACATCCTCGTCGGCAGAAGAGATATTGTCGTCATCAGTGGTGTTTGGGAGAGGGAGACCGCAGATCGTGAAAAGAAGAGGGTGAGAGGTGGGTTCGATGGGGTAAATTTCGATGAGTTCTTCACAGAGGCGACGGCGATGGTCGCGAATAAGCGACTTGGTGCTTGTGAGGAGAGTACGGGAGTTGTTGAGATGTTCCTGGGCATTTTGAACGTCGGTCTCGGCGGCAGATTGGACGGCATAGCCGGAGGAAATGGCGGCGCGCCGTGAGGATATAGATGTTTTTAGATCGTGCTGACGAGTTTGGGATTGGTGGAGGAGTTTGCGGGATGTGGTAACATAGCGTTTTGCGAGGGCGAGAGACTCTTTGGCAACGGGTATATATGTTGACGGAGAAGTGTTGTTAGTGAGTATGTTGTTTATTTGAGAAGTCAGTTGTTCGCGGGTAGCTAAAGCATCTTGAATGGATTCATCGAGATTTGAGAGGCGCATCAATGCATTATAGGAGGATGTAGGAAGCGCAATGCTAGGCCTTGGTCGAGGTGGCTTGGAAGTAAGATCAATGGTATATATGCCATCTACGAGCTGGAAAATAATAGAATTGGGTGGAAAAGGGTGATTCTCCAGCCGTCCTAAGAATTGCAACGACTGAAGATTGACTTCCTCTTCAATCAGTGGAACGAAATCCTGTCGTTTAACCCATATCTCTACAATAACAGTATCGAGACGCGTCGTCGCAGGACCGAATGAAGATAAATCGAAAGATCGAAATGTAGGATTCATTGCCTTCTCTACAACCTCGCTGATATATATCGGATCATCCTGTCCCTCGCAATGCAGTGTGAAGAAGCTATCTGCCATTCGACTATCCCTTACATCCTCCAATTTCTTCTGTCTTATAGACGGACTTGCCCCTACCCAATTGGAACTCGATCTCCTGGTTCTCGCAGAAGGTCGCAAATCCCCCGATGACTGCGCATGATGCAATTGCGACTCGCGGCGCAAAGCCTCGAGCTTCTGTGGTGATTTATTTAGACCTGCATCGTCGATTGTTTTCCCCCGCGGACGAGAAAGAGTCAGATTTCGGACGTATATGCCTTGCAAGTGCCGTAGTTTCCGATTTTGAGGTAGAATTAATGGCCGCGAAGCCTCGGAACTCATATTGTTGATGATATGGTGTCATGGAGTTGGTTGATGCTATCTATTCCCATTGACGAAACATGGTTGTCGAGATCGAGCCTTGACCAATTAAAACAAGGCTGCTATTCAGCCTCGTCATCGATGGATCATCATACATATGCATGTTGGTTGATTCTCAACAGTGTTACGACATCGATCGATTGCGTTAAATTGATTTCTTTGCCTAGCTCTGGTGTATGATGATTAAAATGAGATTTATATCACATCTCTATTGATTTGTCCGCATTGAAGTCTCAACACCGTGGAGGTCATTCAGCATTCCTTTTGTCTAGTGGTTCAAGTAGCTGTATGCTCCCATGTGTCTAGAATAACATATTGCTCCCAGTGGTAGCTTCGAAGAACCATAATCGTTTCACACTTGAGGCCAGCAAGCTGCCATGGCCCACGACTCAGTCATCTTGTAAACGTTTGCAAATCGAACTTATGTATAAATAAGCACTTGCACCACCTCCATTTCTTCCATTTCTCTCTTAGGCGAATTCAATGCTTCGGTAAGGTTTGGACTACCGAGTGGGAAATAATGGCCAACGCTTTTGACTGCTCCTAAGTGTTTCATAAGGTCTGAAAATACTGTGATGGCTTTGTCATTTAGGACCAATTTGTATTGACTATTCAATATCGAGTATGGTATATAGATATTCTGGGGCAATTATTCTTAATGCTTACAGTTTTTGGTGGTTGCTGTCTGTTGTTGTACATGATGCCTCTACGTAAGCGAAATAAATGGCCGGATTTGAGTATGTAATTCATAGGTATCCAAATTCAATAAACCACTTGTATCTCTCATGGTAAGTGCAAGTGATAGTTGAGCGCCTTTGTAGCACCAAAAGAGGGTGGTCAAAATAGGTATATACAAGCTACAAAATAAATGCTGGTTCTTGATGTCTAAAAAGATATTTGATCCTTGAAAATCGCTCTGGTTGACTTGATCATTGACAGTTCGTAACACGAATTTTGCGAGGATTTCGATGGTATAATGTTCGAAAAAGCTTCGGATATTGATGGGCCAACATTGATAAGTCACTATTGTTCAGATTGCTTAGAGATACCATCAAATCTTTGATGAGTTATTGTTCACCGGTAAAAAAAAACGTTGGTATGCAATGATTGTTCATGTCGAAAAAAATACTCATCAGTCGTTGTTCAAGATAAATTGGCAGATTAATGAATTATCACTGCAAGAGAAGTGTAACACTTATGATCCATGGTTCATATCACATTTCAACACTACATTTTCACGTGTTCTGACTCTAAGCAGGTGTGACACTCGATTCCACGTGCAGCATGACTCCTTTCTTCCGCCTATCTGCTCGATTGATGACTCCCCCTTGGCTTATTTCCTCGCAAAGTTGTGTTCAATTCCATAAAATTGTTTAGATACCTATTGCTTCCTCAAGGAAAGTCCCTCCCGGCCATCGAATTCAGACTTTTAAGAAAAACATCATACTCGAAAATAACCACAATGTGCTTCACCTATCAACTCATTTACGGTTGCACAAATGAACGCAAAGAGACACACACTCTCTTCGTACATCGTCGCTGCGAACTCGGAACCATCGAAAAATGCCCTATCAAGGTGAAGGCCATTGAACTCAAACGTCTATTCTGTGAGGAGTGTCTCGAAGGGGGACGAGCCACCACGAAACGCCCTCCGTACAAGATTCCCGGTACACGTGCAAAATATTTAGTCGAGGAGTTAGATAAGAGGGCTCAAAATGGAGAGGCTATACTGGGAAACGACTACCTCAGGCGACAGGCTTCATTTTTCACTAGCTGCTCTATGGCGAGAGATCTCCACACAATTTCCGGAGATCATCCATTCTTTCACATCCAGGAACTCATGCACCGAAGACTCAATAACGAGGATATCAATGCAATCGAAAGACTCGCCATAGAAATGCAGCGTGTTCACGTGGGTGGTTTCGCGGACGGACGTCATTATGTATACCCGGTAGCGGCAATGTTGCACAAAGCCCTTCTAGGAAGCATCATTGCTCGCGCTGAATCCGACGGTATTGTTCAATCATGCTGTAAGCATGGAACACACGAGCCACTGCATACTGAAAACCAAGGAGTGAACGTCGTCGTTCGTTTTGGTCTTGCCAATGCTCACAATAACGAAAGAGAATGCAGTACTTGCAAGGATCATCCGACTCTTGGCGGTCTGCCGTGCGCAGAATGCAGATGCAGTATGAAGAGATATGTAAAGTACAAGGGAAAGGCTGGCAGTTTGGTCTTTGTAGACTCAGACATTACGCCTTGGGAAATTCGAGCTATAATGGATATTCACAGAGAGTTCTATTCCGAGAATGCTAAGCCTGAGAGCTCTAAGAAATCAAAACTGTGGCGCTCAGTGCACCGAATCTTGGGATAGCCCAGGCTTCTGTCACAAACATACAATTTGGTAGTGCTTTAGAATAAATTAATGCATGGTTTTCGAATATACTCGAATAGCAAATTTGGAGATGCGTGATGTTTGATTCAGACTCACTATAGTTGATGCAAACATTTGTCAAGTGAGGAGTAGTCCAATAGTGCGTGAACCTGGTGCTAGCCAAGAATCACAGTCGTTAGCTTTCAAAAGGCTTTATTCTCATTGCAAATATTCATACGTCAATATAACTCTACGACAGGAACTTTATGCACATCATGAATGTACCTCAACGCATGGACTTCTCCTGGACATACAGCCTCTTGACATATTAGGAGCTGAAACGATGAGAGTCAGACACACTTTCATTGTCTGAATACCTGTTGCACGTTCGAAGAATCCGAATCTTGTCTTGGGATCCTTCAAGATCTATAGAGTGTCACAAACAGTAATTGAGGGACATATTTTCGGTATGACTCCAGCTTACTTGTGCTTTGCGTAATACTAAGGCAGACTTATGCGAAGTGAACTAATATTTAAAGTTAATACTACCAGAAAATCTTCCACATTATAGGTAGCATTACATATCTCACTATTGTATAAACTAAATAAAAATCAAAATAAATAGATTTAGATTTAGAATAAATAGAACAGAAAATTTACTCTCATTCTCATACATTACCATATACCTCTTTTGGCTATATGTACCCTTCTTTGGTCAAGTATTCGCAATAGCTTACATCAGGGAGAGCAAGAAACTATCTTCAGAAATATTAAGTTGTATTCTCCGTAGTAGGGAAATAAACAATGAGATGTAATGTCACGGAGTGAAGGTATCGAAAAAGTTCCAGGAACCGAATAGTTTCAATTGATATTGTAAACTATGAAGAGGGAAGAGCCAAGTCACAAAATGAATCTGTGTTTATACCCTCCTCCTTAGCCTCTGATCACGTCAAAGGCTGGTCTGAATTATTCAACATTACGCGATATACCATTTGCGTCTGCCAAGGTTGCCCAAAGAAGTGAATCTGGAAAATGGGGTTTGATAGACTCAGTACCATGCGATGCCGATGGCGATGTCAATTTACAAATGCAAGATGCTAGAGAGCTGGCGAGAAAGCTTTCTTGTACAGATCTATCAGGTCTAGGTATACTTCAGTGTCAAGGTGAAATTCGGGTCATAAAACTCGGCAATAGGAAGCCGTCTTCTTTTGGGTTTATCTTCCGAGTCCCTCAAGAGCTCAGTAATGAGCCCAAAAGTCTTCGCGATTATCTCTCATCACAGATTAGCCATACTCTTACGGACCGATTCAGAATCGCAAACCACTTAGTCAAGTCTATCAGCTATATTCACACTCTTGGATTCGTACACAACACCATCCGCCCTGATACTATCCTTGAATTCCAAGACAAAAACTCGGCTCTTGGCTCAATTTTTCTGGTAGGTTTTCAAAACTTTCGCATGGTAGATGGTTGAACACGGCGATCAAGAAACTCTGCATGGGACACAAACCTCTACCATTATCCGCATCGGCAAGGCCCGAGTCCCGAAGAAAGCTATATTATGCAGCATGATATCTATAGCCTGGGCGTTGTTCTTCTGGACATTGGTATATGGGAATCATTCGTTTCTTGCAAGAATAATGAAACAGCCCCGACTTACAGCCAAAAGAGTTATATGATAATGTATGAGAATGAAAGCAGATTTTCTGTTTTATTCATTCTAAGCCTACATCTATCTATTCTAACTTCTATCTAGTTTATAATAGTAAGACAATATGTCACTTATAGTATGAAAGGTTTTCTGGTAGCACTAACTCTTGTTACGATCACATACTATAGCATATCGATATAGGTCAAACAACTAGAATAAGATAGCTAAAGAGGAAAGAGATCCTTAAGGGATTCTTACATACCGTATTCTTTCGGAATTTTCGGGTTAGGGTTAGGGCTAGCGTTCCTTGAAAATTCCAAAAGAATACGGTAATAACAATTGCTTAGTTCAAGCTAGCCGTGAACTAATCACTATGTCATGTGATACTCGTCATAACTCCAATTTTTAACTAACTTCGCACAAGTCTTCCTTAGTTCGAAAGTTAAATCCCCCACAAATATAAGTAACTCAGAAATTCGTACTTGTTATCCATTCATCACTGCCTCAACCAACATTTTCGAGATTCGGACTCTCATCGCCCCCTCAATCAACATCCTCAAGAACTCAGACCTCCATCAACCCACGTTCCGAACTATCACCATGGCCTTCTCGATCTTCAAAGTTTGTCCCAGCTGCCTCAACAATAAGATTCTACTTTTGACTGTCCCATTTGTCGTCGTCAGCAGCTTCTACCAAATTCAACGAAAATGGTCCATCATCGAGCAATTTGAAAAATTGATAAAAGAAAGGCAAATGACATGCACCGTGGAGCCAGCGGACCTCCACCGAGTTATCAATGAAGCTTCCCGCCGATTGGAAAAGTATGGCGAGAGTTTTCCAGAATTAAAAGTACTTGTTGGATCGAAGAAGAACATTGAGTCCACAATTTTCTTCAGCTTTGACAGCAAGGTCGCCATCAAGGGGATGCAAGGTGTTTAAGCTCTCGTACCAGGTCATTTGAAATCAAGTTTTGGAGGCCACGTAGTAATATCTTCAATCTAAAATTGTTTCCACTCCTAGATTCCTGCCAATTGTGACGAGAGTGTCAAAAAGTGAGAGATTAAATTTTTCGTAGTTGTGTACTTTCCAGGAATCGTTCCCTGTAACATAGGCTTCAAAGAATTCATTTCAGTTGCTGCCAACGAAATTTTGCAAGGGGCACACCAGGCCAGCATCTCCAATCAGTCAGTTACTTTCTCTCTTCCGGCCATATTAATGTGATGATCGAGTTCCAGCTTGCTCGTATCGCAGCTTGGTTCGTCGTTGTGGATTGTTCCCATACCAGAAAGAGACTATCGAACTCTGTGTGGCTTATGAGAAACACGAGGCCAAGAGATTTTGCCAATATTTATCATGCATCAGCCTAATGAGACTTATGATGATCTCAAAATGGTAACTCAGACGAAGTGAGCCACAGCAATCAGAAGTAGAGCCGTGAGATTCTATTTCCACAGGTTGTTCATGGTACCGGTCTATGGCGATTCGCTCTTCATTCTTCAACGATGGCAGCCCAAGCAATCTCCAAGTAACACCTTACTAAAATGCAGTGTTGTAATTAGTATTTTCCGTATTTCAGTTACGCCCCACTTTAGTGGTACGTATTGATATTTATGATATTATTTCAGTAATTATTATTGAATTATATATCACTGAAAGTATTCTATATTTCAATAATATTGAATATCACTAACAATATACCGAAATACGGGAATTTGCATATTTCTATTCAAATATTACATATTTTGAATGATCTCTTTCCTTATTAGGCTTAAAGTCAATCAAAATATACAATATTCGAATCAAAATATATGAATTCCCATATTTTAGTACATCTTCAGTATAGCTCTGTTTGTATGATACGTACGGACGTGGATATGATTGGCTATTATACGTACTAGCGTGCGTATTATACTCTCTATATCAGCCACAGTAATACTATCGTATACTAATTACAACACTGCTAAAATGCTCTATCCAGCAGGGCCTTCGAAAGCAAATAAGCTCCGCACTTGTATCATACAAAGCACGAGCAAGCTAGAGTCATACTGATCAAGTGCCCATTTTCTGTCGCAGTACTCTCCATCACTTTCAAAGCTATTATAGCCTTCAGCGCCTTTGAGGAGGATTGTCGTAATCAAGCATCAGACAATTGCTGAAACCCAGAACAAATGAACCCAAATGTCCTCTCCTCATTGCAGTATTCTTTGCAGTTTGCAGAACCGCTGAGAAGTGCTAAGAAGTGCTGTTGTAAACAAGGTCCACTATAGACGAGGACCAAGAAAGAAAACTGCTGAAAACTGTAGGACTCATATATCCATTTCTTGCCCAAGCACTCGTCGACAGAACTATTTGATTACTGTGACAAATAGAGGAACACAGGACCATAGAAATCAAGTGCCCATTTCTTGTTGAATGTTTATGGGGATCGCAAAACAACCGCCGAGAACCTGAGGCATTAGAAATCAAGTGCCCATTTGCGTCGGAGTACCGTGCTACTCAACGACGAGGACTTGTCGATTGGCTGGTCTTACAGGCCAGTGTCACAACAGGGCCACCTATGAAAGAAGGTCAGAGAGTGGCGGATAGCTATGCGTGTCATTACTCACTGCCATGCCAAAACGCTATTATCACTTCTCCTCCGTTGGAAGATCTGCTGGGCCATCCGCATGATGATGGTGATTGATGACGAGGCCGAAATTACACTGATCGAAGTGTATATTCGTTGCGCTGGCGAGGATAAATCCTCCCAGGAACCCAGTCACCAACAAGATTGTTTTTCCATCATGCCCTATAGCACGCCATGCAGCCCGCAGGCAGGAGAATGTAAGAGGGATATCGATAGGAGTTGACATAAATTTTTTTTTTTGGCAAAATAAAGGATATAAATTTTAATTATTATTAATTCGCTGTATCCAGAATGAAGACGAAAGGGAAGAAAAACAGAAGAAACGAAGAGGGTGAGATCGAATAGCCATTTGAATTGTTTAACTTTCACGAAATTCGCTCTTTCCAGTGAGAAATTGCATTTGAGAATCATAACGGAAGGAGATTTCCAGACTTGTTGAAACAAGTACGAGCAGTCAAACCGTTGGCCATTACTTCCCACTCGGTAATCCAAGCCTTAGGAGCGAGAATCAGACACCAGATCAGATTTGCCCGCTCTGTATACTTATTTCAAGAGTCCTTTCGCTGATAAGTATTCTGTATGTACCTAGTAGAGAGTTCTCCAATCAAAGAGGAGGTTAAATGCAAGAAATTCACTGGAACCTAATATTCTCAAGACATTTGATGTTTATGAGAATTTGATACTGAGATGTGCGAGGAGCAAGTCAACCTTGAATTCAAATCAAGTGCGAGAAAAAGAAACTACACTAACGAGCTCTCATCATCATCCAGTGGCCCTCTTTAGTACTACGAAGGCGTCAAACTGTCACTTGAACTCACGGTGAGATATAAGTGGTTTATTGAATTTGAATATGAAATACGGTTATTTCAACTTTGAACGTACAACTCGACTCGTGTATGAAAAAATGATGGGAGAGTATGAAATTATGAATCATTCGAATTCGGAGAATAATTCTTTTTAGAAACCAAGAGCATAAACCAAATTAAATCATATTGTTCTAGCTGACTAGCAGAAATAGAAAAACATAAAGTAAAAACACCCACCCAAACAGAAATATTTATACATCTCGTAAACGCCACATCACGCTTCTGTGCCCCCCTTTCAATATGTGGTTTCATATTACACCAGTAATATCCAGATTTCGATCTACATAATTGTTGATGCATCAACTTGCCAGCTATGATTATCTCTCGTAACTTAATGATCGCTCCTCTTCGGAATACTCATCGGGGTACGCATCGTTCATTCTTCTTCCACGAGATCTGGCACGAGGAGCAATATTAAATCCATACATGGTGTCTCTGGTGACCATATAAATACCAAATGAAAAGAGAAGAGCAAAGGCAAATGCAGCCCACTGAAGTCCCTCGAGCGTTTTCCCTTGTTCAATCTGTACGTTTGCAGAACATCCTACAGCTGTATCTTCAAGTACCGTATTGATTGCATTAACGGAGACAGTAAGCGTATATGCTGCACCAAGACTGGTAGCAACAGATGCCCACAGAAATGGCATGGCTACCATGCCGATTTTACCAGCAGGTTTTCCCAGACCTGCAAGGAGCCATGCACCAGTGTCAACAAGGAATCCTAGGAGAAATAGAGATAGTGCGACCATCGGCATGAAAATAGATATGTCGTTCTGTAACTTCTGTCCTAACTGTATGATATTTGAATCGACATGAAGTGTTGCGGCAATTTCGTCGGGTGACTGACTATACTGCTTGCCTATGCATTGGAAACCGTTTGTGTTCTTGAACGTATCTCCGTTGCTTCCTTCCACCCCCACATAAGCACAAATACCTAAATAGCTTGTTAACGAAGATTCGCAGAACCAGGAAAGATATCTTCACGAACCCATGTAACCAAATCTCAATCCACCGATTTTGGATCCATCAGTGCCTACCTTGGCGATTTGCCCGATGAAGACATTCTGCATTCCTGGCGTTGTTGTCGCAGATCCGGCAATCGACATGGCTAAACATCAACACGTTAGCTCAGGTCTACGAATTGATATATCGGACAAGAAGCAAGGAAAGTCTGTGGGCTTACCCGAGAATGTAAAAAATGGGATGGCTCCAATAATCCATACTGCAGCTCGAACAGTAATGTTCTTTGGATCTGCGAGAAATAGGGTCAATCTTAGTTTTACAAGGACTTCTGAAAAACATACTCATGGGTCTCCATGCTCCACGGCCGGACATTTTGAAGGTGTGAAATTAGGATAATGCCACTAAGTAGTGGCGACGGTGCAAATGAGTGACTCTTTAAAAAACACAAAAATGAATGACGAAAGGAAAATCTGTCAGATAAGAAATTCTGCACTGCTAGATTTCAACTTGAGCAGATAGATAACCTGGCTTATGGCTTGAGGACTAGAAGACCTTGCTCACTATATACGACTGTTGGTAAACCATAGTATCCATTGCTCCACCTCTGGTTTGACTTGAATGTCCATGCTGTGCAATTGCTGTGCCTTCAATTGTTGACCATATTGACCGATAGATCACTGGATCTAGGTACACCCAAGAAACTTTTATGAATTCAAACAGACACTACGAACCACCAAGTAACCCACTAGGCCAATTCTTGAGTGAAAAGAATTGTTATTACAGGACAGTATATAATAACCGCGGCCTACAAACGGCAAGCGCTCAAGTCAGCGGTCGCGATGTTTTTGGTCGTTCATCAGACTGACGTTAATCGATAACGTAATCAATCTAGTGCTCAGTACTCGAGTAGCTGCTAACCTTAACAGTGCGCAAAGTCAATATCGCACGCGCCCGAGCGATTTTGATTTTTGGGTCATGCTCAAGGTCGAATTGAGGCTCTTGTAAGCATCCAAGAAAAAGTTCCCCTCTCTACCTTAGGTCCTCATTTTGTCGGAGGATCTACAGAGAGGAATGATTCTGTGCTCCATGCATATCTCTGGTTTTCTGGTCCAAGATATGGACAGAATCTCGAAGATCCATTTTGAGAGCTGGTTGGATCTTTTCAACCTTCTGCGACGAATCCTGTTAACGGAAAACGCTCCCTCCGATTTGAGACGCAATTTAAATCCTTATCAAAATTGATTTGTTTGTATCTTTGCAGGAAACTGCGTTCGCAATTGCTTAGACCTCCAGGGCTGGTGTATGTTTGCTCGTTTACATTTGTTGGTTACCTCGGTTACCTAGTAGGTAGGTACCTACCCCGTTGTACAAGTGTGGCTGCCAACAATAGTGGCGTTCGACTGCGGTCTAACCCAAAGAGGCCAAGTGCACTCTCAATGTTTGAAAGTTCATTATAGGGCTGAAGTGTCGGTCTTGTTTTGAGTTATTGGGTCGGCGATGGGGTTATCGCAGGCAAGCTTCTTTACATCTCTAATAAATAATTGATCGTTGGTGTTTCAAACGATAAGAATGTCGATATGAAAGGATTTAGACCATAACGACCAATTTTGCACCTTATTTCTGACCATTCCCAAGGATCAAGGTTGTTGAAACTTCGCAGACTGAGCAGAAAGTCAGATGAGCTTTCAGAAATGAAGGGGGCCTAGAATTTTACACGAAAGGCATGAAAATTTCATTATGCGTAGCCAGGCCGATTGCCATTCTCGCGGCCGACTATGGTTCTTCAGAGGTCTTCTCTATCTACTGCTACGTATATTTGAAAGCTGGAATCTGCCAACTTTTCCTCACATCATCAAGCTCGAACGTCACATCTTTCTTAAACCAACATCTAAGAAATGTGTATTCTAGTGTGAGCTCATATCTACGACGATGAACATGTGACAATCGAGAATCATGCGAGAATAGATCCTGCCTGTTTTGGCAAAGGCGGGCTACGATTGATCTTTTATTCGTTCAAAGTATCTCAATACCTTAAGCTATTCAAGTTTATCATCCATTCCCAACGATCAATACAATCTTGGATTTCAAAAATTAAGCCACAGCTGCACCAGCGTAAGGCAGAACAACAGTCTACAATGCTATTGCTCTTGAGAATCTCAAACAAGCCGAGCAAAGGTATCAAGACATTGGTATGTTCTAAAATATATGTAGTCGAGTGGTTCACAAAATGAGATCCACTAACAGCTTGTGATAGGATAGTGTTTCATTGAAACCATTTCTAACTTCATACACACACTACACTTTCCACACGCTCATTAAACTTTACTTACTTACAAAATTTCTGCAACGATGCTTGCAGGTCTTCGAATAATACCACAAAGACACGATCGTTTAAGCACATGAATTGCACTCGTTTTATCTCATTTCCTTTGTCAGTTTCTTTCTCAAATACTTATCCCTACTTTGGTATAAGCTTCTTGGAGCCATGCACGAATAGATCTTCCACTTCACAGCATGTTACTGTCGCACGCAAGATCTCTCGCTCCCATATTTCGATGACATCCTACACGAGGTCCTCTTTTGTCTCCAAAAATCCACTCCTCCACGTTCGGGAGCCATGTATACTGAGACGAGTCAAATCGCCTCTGTGGTCTTCTGAGCAGGCAGATAGTAGGTTGAGACGAAATGGGGCTTGGATTGTTTTCTTTATTCTTGGGGTTGTGTTGCTGAACTAGTTACGAGCTTTAGTAGAATGCTGTGAAGACAGATCTGGAGCATGTTGAACAGAGGCGAAGATGGAACGAATCAAAATAGGGGTAGAATACCTTCATATTGCCAGGCTAGGAGGGGCGTTCTGAAATAAAATGATCACGTCTTTACATGGGAGTTTTTTTTTGGCGAGGGAAAAGGATACGAGCTTGGAGTACGGTCAATTTTGATATTTGGATCGGAGATAAAAATGGACAGTTCTAGTTCTTTACGAATAGTTAAACTGCATGAATCTTCATTAAATCTTGTGAATTGCCTTACTGTAAAGCTCTGATCCCAATCAAGTGGTGACAGTGAGAATTGTAGTATTCTAGCCAAGTGGCTGCTTCGAGAGCATTGAAAACTTTTCACTTTCACGGCCTCCTGAAGCCCGGTATTTCAGGAACATGATCCCGGATATCCTATTTGTATGTACTCTTAAAATATCCCTCTCATGATTTATGATTTGCTCTATTGACATTCATGCCCAAGTTTCTTTACGTACACCATTTCGGTTATCATCCACGGAGAACAAACGCAATGAATAGCATACCTGTCAGAGTCAAGATTGATGCCCAAGGTATGCTCAAAAATTGCCGTGCGATGGGTACAAATCGATACCATGAGGTTTTTAGGGGCGATAATTTGAAGCTAAAAAAGGGATCCGAATTATTGGGGGCGTAGGTGAATACAATTGCGGACTTCCGATGTTATATGGAGCCATATTGTGCCCTGATAGATCTCGAGCAGGCGAAGTCTGAACTGAAATCTCACTCACAATCCTAGAAACTCTATTGTAATTCACGATTGAAGTTTCTATAAGCACTTTTTTCTAGTCATCATCTCACTCCTACCATTCCGCTGATCTTTTTCGCATGGCAACTAAATATCGCACGACGACCATGATAGGTCTTTGCGTAATGGTGATCTTGATTCCGAGACGCCTACAAGTACCTCGCCACTACTACCTAAAAGAGAAACAGGGTAAGAAAGAGAGAGAAAAAAACTCTTCTTTTCAGGTCAAATTTCTGGTCGCAGCTCCAACCCAAAGACTTCAGATATGCATTAAAGCCCAGCTAGACCATAAATCACAAGCCCGATTCCCCATAGAAGATCCCTAGTCTTCCTTGACGCGAGTGAATACAGCAAAATATGGATCACCCCTTTTCTTTGCCAAGCAACAGCAAGCCTTATTACCACAATAATGGCACAGTCGATTTTGAAGACCTCCTCATTTCGGACGAAGACCTTCAAATGTGGGGAGATTTGGGTTGTTCAGAATTAGCGAATTCCTCCAACTCATTTGTAGGCTCTTCGCCGCCTGGTTGGACTCCGCAAGGGATAGCTGGGAGTGAAGAATATCAAGAACTCTCTGCCCCATCGTCTTACAATTCTCATCCACCATTTTCGAGAGATCTTAACCCAAACATGGGACTTCCAAGTCTCTTAACATCGTTTCCACCGCCGCCTACCTCAACACCAGTCGCTAAGGACGGAAACTATGGCTTTTTAGCGTGGATAAACACAGTACAAAACAACGGAACCCCGATATCTACTGGGAATAACTTGAGCGCTATGTACCCGATATCGATGTCAAGAGAGTGGAATAATCGCTACAATGCATCAGCTTATCAAAGGACTGCGGAGAATGCGGAACAACATAACAACACAGCATCTTGGCAATCTCAAATACTGAACAGCACAGATTCTTCGCCACATCAACGAGGAGCTCCGAACATAGCATCACGAAGTGACGTTATCAGCACTCAATGGCAACCTCAAAGTTACGATTGCGAAGCCTCCTCGTTTATAGAGTACAAGCCCAAACTCCCTTCACATTCAACTTCGCATAATTTTTCGCCAAAACCCACGACCACAGAATACCCACCTCAATCTCAATATTCCAGTGTCTCGGACGCAACATCTCAAGCCGAATCGCACTGGACACCTCCGAACCATCCCCTCGAAACCATCACTCCCTTCATAAACCCGACTCCCTTTGCGTCCACCCTAACGAACAACTTTCACTTTTTCCATTCTCACTCTCTCCTATACAAGTCAGGTGTTACGCCTCATGAACTACAAATGCATCTTGCTGCTGGCTCATGTGGTGTGACTATTCACGGCACTGTTTCCATTCCCGAAAACACCAATTGTTACCAAAATGGCACACTCGGTCTCATAATTGCTCAAGAAATGCCTCTAACTCCCCGTTTGTATTTGCCCACCCAGCGGAAGAAGATTTCCGAATCAATGCGTCAGGTTGTGTCGGGGTTACATGAAAAAGGCATTGTACATGGCGATATTCATCTTTCAAATTTTCTGCTCTGTGCTTCTGGAAATTCGAACGATCAAGTCAGTGTTAAACTTAGTAATTTCCACGATTCTCTATTCATTTCGACTTCTTCTTTTCAAGCTTCAATTGATCATGAAAAAGAAGAACAATGGACACCAGTTCTCAACGGCAGGATAGTCTCTCCAAACAGGGCAAATGAGTGGATGAAAGGAAGGGATAGAAAAGCGACCAAAGAAGATGATCTGTATGCGTTGGGGATTTGTATGTGGGAACTGTGGAGTGGGAAGAGGTACGATGAAACGTGTGGGATTTGGGAAGATGTGAGGAGAGGTGACCTGAAAGGAAGAGGGGTGGATATGAAAGGGGTTGGGGATAAGGGGGTCAGAGCATGGGTTAGGGCGTGGTTGAGAGGCGGGGGAGCAATTGTTTGATATCTGGTGTTTGATTCAAAAGCATAGTAGAGTTCATTCACAGGGCCTCTTGTTGGAGCTGATTGCGCTGCAAATTGTTTGGGGCTCTACCCTTGATGACCCTGAGACCATGTGACTTGCAACATTTAGTTTCAAATTTATATTCATCATTCTCAGAAAATCACAAAAGGGCCATTTTTAACTCTGAGCCTAAATTTGAGGCATTGAACGACACACTTCTTAACCACAAAGCTCTACCATGAATTATGCGTTACTATCATCAAAACATTTGTCGTTGAAACAACTCTACTATTTGACTATCCTAGGAACTGTCAGGACAGAAGTTCGAGAATATTTAGCTATTGTTGTTGGGGTAGAAGATAGAGACTAGTGGAATTGAGGCGCACAATAATCCTCACTTTGATGGAAGTTTCAATCCTTAGCTTGAATTGCAAAAATATCGATTTGCTTGAAAAAAAAATGAGATCATCACCAGTGAGACTATTCACCATGTGCCCAGAAACCAAATCAGTTGAATTTTGGGCAGAGTAATCTCTTTATCAAGATATTTTTTTCCTCTCTCACTAGCATTATCACGTCCAAAAAATATCGACAGGTAAAAATAGAGAATAAAATGGCAAAAATTCAATCTCTCCTAGGTAGCGCGTTCGGAGACCGGAACCAAACTAGACGAACTGAGTTATCAAGCAAACGAGTCTTCGGACATTAAGCAGAGGTCCCGTTTGAGGGGATGTGAAGAACCTAGTGCGCTACCACTAAGCCATCTGGACTATGTTTGTTGTTAGAGAAGAGAGTTTGTTTTGAATTATAATTAAGCGGTTTGTGTTTGCTGTGTTTGCTGTGTTTGCACATAATTACATTTTTCGGTGAAAGTGAAAAGATGAGATGAGAACAACGTATGAGCTTTCATGGTTTCATAGTCTTCCAAAAGCGGTCCTGGTGAAAGAAGAATATCTACGTCATTGAAGGGAATAAACAGAAAAGACTCGAGCGCGGCTGAAAGTAGAGTTTCGATACTACGCAGAAACCATGCGATATCAGCGATTGATTGGTATGTCGATATGTTCAGCTTTAGGTAATCCATCAATTGTGTGACTGAGAGATTATTTATCTCATCACGATGATTCTATTCCTTGCTGCTACCATGGCGTTGTGCCATTCACACTTGTGATGCATATAAATATAAAGCTGTATCTGTGTATCACAACATTTATAGGGTAAGCTCATGACTGCGCTTGCTAGTAGATCTGAAGTTTAGGTGAAGCAGATGCTGTTTTGAACTGTACGCATCCTCATGTAGAAAGCGTGAAACAAATGAAGAGGGGTAAGGAAACAGCTGAAGGCGCATGTCCAATTGACGCATCAATTGCGAGGCCTCGAAGGTTCACAATTTGATCTCGTGGTGAAAGCGCGTCAGTAGGCGTACGCAATCCAAGTAAGCAGAAAATGGTATTATCAAATATTGATATAATGCAATGTAACCCAAAGGTTCATGAGAAGCCTGGAAGGAAGAATCAGCAGGGAGCAATACGGGGAAACCATTGAAGCGAATCGAAGCGAACACCTCGGCATATACGGTTAGAAATTAATCACCGATTCAGATTTTCTGATCAATAGGTACCCACGGTCTTGGTAGATTTCATTTGTCCCTTTGGTAAAGCCTTGGCCGATGATATCCTATGACTATTCGATATCAGATGTATCTTCCATTAACATTTCAAATGAGCCTTGCTTACGGTTAATATAGCGGAGTAATTGAAGTGCTTATCAACAGGACGGGCCGCAGATAGTCTCTTGATACGGTACATGGTGCATGGCACATTATGACATCAAAAATCATGTTTCCGTAGCTTGTCGATGTCTGCCTACATTGTAGTATTCGAATGAAATGGATAAGATGTGATTGTAAATGTCGTGACAAAACCTGAGGTACGAGAGGGTGTGGTGGAGCATGGTGGAGTGTGAGTGGGACCGTGGGTGGTTCGTGCCAAGCGAACGGAAGGCACCGTCAATTTAAGATGCATGTGATCAACATCTCCTTCCAACAACAACAACAACAACACCAACAAGGATTTAAATTGACTGAAACTTCTTATTGGTGATTCTATCGGCTTATCGAGGGGCTGGATATTTTCCACCTTCCTAACTGCCACCTCTGCATCTTTGCCTTTTACCATACTTGTTCATTTTTGTTGTGATGTTTTCATTCTACCTGCATCTACTTAACAAAGCATGGCCTAGTTCTTGGATGATATTCTCTGCCTAGGCTTTGTATATACTATCTCTGCAATAACATAATCGTTATCGAGTGCTTCTTGTATATCATGTTGTTTTGTTTTGTCATGGAATGAATAATTATTCTTCAAATGAATTCAAAGAGAGCTGCCACAACGGCGATCGCCTAGATCTTTCCCCCAGAATGTTTTCTCAATACGATTTGCAGATCTGTTTACATGTTTATGTCCTTCCGTTTCCCGTTTCCCGCGTCCAATCAAATTATTCATCTACGCGCAGAAAACTGCCGGTCAAGTGAAAAACGGCTCTTCGAGCCCTAACCATTGCTTCCTCCTTGGCCATCCTGATAGGCTTTTTATCTTTTCATGCATTCAGTATACTGGGGCCGTCCACACCCAATAAATCTTTAGTGAATTAGTGCGCGCTTATGGCTACTTTATCCGCATCCAATGAGAGGGTTATAAACTTTGGGGACGACCCGACAGTTTGGTTGAGTGCACTGATTAGGCTGGGTGTCGTGGTGTCATCCCGCCGATCCTCGCAACAATACCTGCAACTTTTTTGCTTTTCGCATCAAAAGCCCCCAAGTCTCAGGTATACCCAGATCAATATGTACAAGGTTCAGTTGAAAATCATCCGCTTCTTTCTGATATATACGATATATAGGTTGGTATGGTAGCACAGACCAAATTCTATATTTTTACGTTCCTTCTTCAGTGTTTCGATAAATCCGATATGTGAAACTGTATTCGGCGGACACAAGATTGAAATGCTGTGTTGGCTCATCTTCATTGATCTGGTGCTGCTAGTCTCATCTATGTCGTCTCCTGGAGAATTCGTCAATCCGAGTGCAGAGGCGACTCAGAATCCGATCTGGGTGACTGGGACTCAACAAATGTTATCATGGGAAACGAGTCTTAGAAACTACACAATCGCACTATGGAATCAAAACGCGGATGGAAATGGATATTCCAAAGGTCCAGCCCTGTTAGGTAAGATGATTGTTTCCTCGTTGCTGCAACCATTGTCTCTTACTAATGCTGATATCACAGAATCCTATGATGGAGATACGTCACTGAACTGGACAGTTCAGACATATGCATTCTCATTATCTTTATCTCCTGTGTTTTACCTACTACTTGTAAGCATACCAAAATTTATTCCTAAGACATGAGATCGGTATCTTTATCATTTGGGCGTTGTATCACGGGAGCATTTGTGAGGGCAGACCATGAAAAGCTTCATGCGAATACATTGGGCGGGTATAAAGAAAAGTCTTGTTTTTGTACACGTTCACATTTCTACCATATCTTTCGTACTACATATCTCTTTACGCGTTTCAGGATGCTAAGTGATAAAAATGCGCGAAAGCATAAAGTAATATTACTTGCTCCATGAAATTTTCTGATTTAACATTCTTAATCGAATATACCCACATTGAGCATACTGACAAATTTGCAGGAGCCCGGGACTCTCAACGATAACGGCAATGTCACTATACCAACCGGCCAATCTATCGTCTCGCATACTTTCAACATAACCTCGACGACACCGAGTGCAGAAGGGGATAAGAAAGATCATAAACTGGGACTTATCCTCGCCTTGTCCCTGACCATTCCATTCGTTCTTATATGTACCGCATTAGCTATCTACCTCATTCGCTCAAGACGACAACGACAACGCGCCCTTGAAACTCCACCACACTATCAATACCCTCATCATGTTGGATTTCGACGTCGGCCGAATCGGTTCTTCCAAACAAACAGCTCCCCTACTGCATTTACTTTTCCGGATCAAGAAGACTCTCAAGATCGAAGGCGAAAGAGTAGCAAAAGCAGCAATAATGGCATTTATTTTCCACCTCCTCCGACCACTCCAAAGTCGCCTCTGTCGTTCGCATCTAGTCTCAAAAGCCTACGCGGTCTCAAAGGGAATACGATGAGTCCAGGTCAAAACTCAATTAATAGTTATCGTTTCAGTCCAACGTATCCCCCAAGTCATCCTCGAGGCCCTAGCGAATATCATCAAACTAATCATATGTCACCTACATATTACCCCCTGCAAAGAATCCCATCACTTACTTCCACAGAGGCCGGGAATCCGCACATTCAACAATTGCAAGAGGCTCAAGAAGAGCTTTCTATCGAGCGTCAAAAACAAGGACCACGGGTGGCTTATCAGCCTCCAGAGATAAGTCCATACGACAAACCTCGAGTCGGACAAGATAACGAGGATCAGAAATGGGTCATTAAACCTTATGTGCCACCGGAAATGCCAGCGTCTGTCAAAAAGAGATATCTTGAAGGGCAGGCCGAAGAAAGAATTGCGAGAAGGAAATACGATTATGATCAGCCGGATGAACTGTGGTAGGGAATAATGAACGGTGTTTGGGCTCAAAGACGATGTGAGCTGCAGCACAATTCCACTTAAATTTTGTCATCCCGTCTTTATGGCAACTTTCACTTCTTCTGTATATAATTAAGGACGCGATGGAGATTTTTTTCGGAATATCTGTAGAGACTATATGGAGAGGAGATACCCAAAGATGCAACGGCTAGTCACGAAGCCATATTTCATAACCTATCATGTAATTCACAAACAAACAAATTCAATTCATCTGTTTTCCAGGAAGCTTACCCAATAAAAACCCAATTCTCGCAAGAGCTATCGAATGACCAGTCAATACTACTTCACAACCACATCGCGTCCAAATCCCTGTATCATTTGCACCGATTTCGCGTTCCCTGCATACGCGGATTGAGGCACAGCAATGTGATAATACGACCTGACCCCACCAACCATCCATACCCCTCACTAGGTATTGTACTACTGTAACACAGATGCAATTTAGCCGGATGTAAACATCGTACGATGTTAGACTCGGAAAGCAGGGTACAAACCGATTTTCTACATGGGGTTTGAATACTGATTCAATTCGGCAATTGGTTGAAACAATAGTTGCATTGGAAGTGTACTTGAATCTAGGACCTAGAGATTAGCTAAACAACATTCAATTTATATGAGAAAGCAGGCTAAGAGCATTAGGCGTATTACATAATCATCTTGATTGATATAGTCAACTGGATTGTACATAGCTTTCAATATAATATGCATTACACTTAATACTAAAACCCTACCCATTCTACACGTCTTTTCTGGTGACCTATGCAGGGACAAAATGGATATGGTTTCCAACCTCCTCTTGATTCCTTTCAAGTTATAAGCCATTAGCTATGGAAAACACCTTTTAAATACTACGAATTGCTTTATCCTTTTCAATACGATATATTACAGTTTTCTGCGACGTCTTTATTGATAGTTTGTAGGCTGCAATACCTTTCGAAACCCCTCTTCCTTTCGATTTCTCCATTCTCAATCTCCGAATAGCATCACTTTTCGAAATCTCTCGAGATCTCTTTCGAATCACCTTTTTGAGGACCTTATTCGAACCCTTATTCGAACCCTTTTCGAATCCTCCTTCCTCCTTTCAACAAATACGATATTCGACCTTTCAATTATACTACAAGTCAACCTACAATCACTCTCTACGATACCATTTTAAGTTTACACGGTTTTGAGGACATTATTAGAGCTATTAGTAGGCTCTAGAGCACTGTGTAGTGACTCAATGTCAGCTGGGGACCCTATCATATAGTATAGAATATCCAGGTCATTTTAATGTTTCCTTTCGAATTCGAATAAGTTACCTTTTTCTACGCCTACCCTTTAAGTTCTTCGATTGTACGTCACACAATAGTTCAGTTTCGACAGGAATATCGTATACAATACGATAATACAACAGGAAAGACAATTCAGGTCTCAATATGCTAGGAGATTGGAGAGTGGATGGTGTATTACGGTTCTTAGCTTGAAAGCTAGTTCCATTTTCGAGGCAATTGGCCTTAAATTTCAGGGGATAACTTGATTTTCTATACAGTTCTATACGGGGGCGTATAGTCTTTTTTGGGATGGACTAGATACCAGAGTGAATACTACAGCCCCCTCTAGCGCGGTTTCTAGCTTTCTAGCACCTTAAATAGCCTCAACCTTTCATAGAAAATACAATCAAGCTTTTCACTCCCTTCAATACGTATTTAGTCTCTTTTCTATATGCTCATAAATATTTCGAATCTTAATGCTACAATTGTAAGGAAATTTAACTTTTGGGGTTCTACTAAGGCCGATTTGAATCATTTGGTCAAAACCCCAAAAATAGATTTCTGCCTAATGAAAAAAGAAATTTTAGAATCTATATAATGTATTTATAGAAATCTTATAAAAAAAAATAGAATTCAACCTTATTAAAGAATTTTTATAAAATAAATCATATTATTGAATAGCCTTTAGAGTTAGCTTTATTTATTTGTTTTTAAAATTCATTTCAAATTTTTTTATAAAAAATATACTAATATTTAAAATCTATTTTCAAATAGTTTTCGTTTTTGTATATAAACTATTCTAAAATAAGCAAAATAAGTTTAATAAGAATTCCTCAGTTTTTCTTTTTGTATATAGACTACTATAGAATAAGCAAAATAAGTTTAATAAGAATTCCTTATCTCAAGCTTAAACTCAAGCTTATTTTACTTAAACTATATGATTAATACAATTTCTAATTAATATATTTAATATCAATATAAATATTTAATTCAATATACAACTTTAAAAAGATTTATAAAATAGAATAAAAAGTAATGAAATTGTTAATTAGAATTCAGAAAATCGATTACTATAATTCTTTTTAGATTATCTCAAAAACTGAAATTTATATTCAATATCAAAATATTCTAATAAATTTCAAAAAAGATTAAATTTCAATATTTGATTTCTCATTTTTCAAAATTATTAAATTGAATATAAATTTCAATTTTTGAGATAATTCCAAAAAAATTATATTAGTTGATTTTTTAAATTCTAATTAATAGATATATTTGTTTTCCTTTTATTTCATATATTCTTTTAAGGTTGTGTACTGAATTGATTTTCTTGTATAAAAGTATATTACTAAATTCTAAATACGATTTAAGTTCAGGCAAAAATCTGTTTTTGGGGTTTTGGCCAAATGATTCAAATCGGCCTCAGTAGTTCGCTTATCGGGCTATCAAAACCTAAACTCTCGGCTGAAAACACCCTAAATAATATCTCGGCGGATGTCAAGTTTTCTGAGAAATCACAATCAGTTCTGATTTCATGGCTCATTCACTCATGGCAGTAGAAGCAACATTTGATTTGAACTGTACTACGATTCTATCACGGGTAGATATGACATAAATTGCAACTATGTCGTCTTAGGAAGAGGTAGTGGTTGTGATATTGGTTCATCACCTGGTCTCTTTGCAATAATATACTGCTGCATTTCTGGATCGCACCTTGGGTTGTCTGGTTGGAACAAGTCAATTGTTTCGCTCACAATCTCCAGACCCATCGATTGGAAAAAGTTCCTTTGACCCTTCGCGCTCATCAAGAATGTTGGCAACGGCTCTCCCATGAAGGGGACATTGTAGTCCTCAACGTAGGTCCTAGTTTCATCATATGCGGACTCTTCTTTGACATGGTGATCTCCTGGCGACTGTCCCAGAACGATGATTCCCCCAGGTTGTAGCGCTCTGGCATATTTATACACTGCGGCATGAACGGCAGCGTACGACATCTGGAGATGGGCAAAGATCATGAAGACCCCTGTAAACGTTTCCTGCTCAACTTCGTACTCGGCCATGTCGGCTACGGAGAAGGTGCCCTTAACTCTACTTTGTGCAAGCTGCACCATTTTAGGAGAAATATCGAAGCCGACGACGTCTAGACCGGCTTGAGATAACATTTGTGAAACCGGAATTTCGGTTCGACAACCAACATCGAGGACCTTCGATCCTGAAGGGAGTATGGAGATGGCCTTTGTAACACAGGCGATTTTGAACTTGTTGTTTTGATAAGCCTTTTCATAATCAATGTTAATGCCCTCGAAAGTTTCGAGTCCCGCCTTAGAGCCTGCATCTGTAGTTGCCATGGCTGGAATGTATCAGAGGGCAGTACTTTGAGTCTTATGAATAAATTGATGGATGGAAACTCAGAAAGCTGTTCGCATATCAGAATGAAGATCCCGGTTGTGGATTATCTAACTGGCGGTATATATATCGAGCCTATAATATCGATTCGAGGAGTTGATCAATTTAGCCGGCGACAATATTTGCGTACGAAAAAGCTTTGGTTCAATACTTCAACCGAGAAGGTAGCAACCATCTGAGTTTATCTGAGAAAGTTTACCGGATAATTTGAAGGGAAACAGATATTTCTGAAGACATCTCCGAGGACCGGTGCAAGGTGCTTTTCCTAAAGAATCAATTTCAAGGGTCACAATCAGTTGAATCTATGACTATCCATCTGTGGGGAGGATAAGTTAAATCTTATCAGGGAATTGAGGGATAGATGTGGATTCCTCTACAGTTTCACTTATGCTTCAACCATATTTCCCGCAGCAGGCAAAATTCCAAATGTGCATATCAGCGTCCTGTCACACAAACCTACATGGAATAGTCATTTATTGAGCCAGCAAGCCAGTGAGAAAATCCTCAAGGGGTGCCAGACAGAGGCATTCCAGAGAATTGAAACCCCATACACATGCAGATCATCAATAAATTCTCCAAGCACATAAGCCGCATCTTGGTGCAATGCATTCTAAATGGTTGGTTAGAGGATAGACAAAGAGCATTGCGTTTCTAAAGCCACAAGATAGGAAAGTAGTTTTACCATGATTTCTCGGTTCCGAATCTGGCAACGAATTGGCCCTGTACTCGTCGTGAAGTTGAATTTTGGGATGATGTGTAAGAATGCAATGATAACCTAGAAGGGAAGTGATCACCTCAAATGTTGCAGATTGCTTTGCTTCGATAGGACTTTGACAGATCTAATAATCTTTATGTCTATTTCTGGCGGCTTTTGCGCCAAAAGAGCCTCATATTGCACTACATTCTTATCGTACTGATTTCTGAATCGTACATTAAGTTGCTATTGGGTTTCACGCCAGAGCTCTTGATGCCAGACAGTCGCTGATTCATCGATATTGTAGCAAGGTCTCATCGCTTTGAATGTCGAGGATTATGTAGGTCAAAGTTACCACGCCACTTTGCTCACAATTGTCGTGCTCGCATTTTCTGTCATCTCCAACACCTCGATATCTTCGCATTTGCCTATTATTGAAAGTGTGATGTTAGTCCTGCACGTATTCGGTATGTTAGCAATTACAATTCCTCTTTGGATTTTGACCCCCAATCTCAGCCACGCCTCGGACGTTTTACCTGATTTCACAAATGAAGGCGGTTTTCCAAGTAAAGGATTATCGGCTATGATTGGCTTGACGGTACCTTTTGGTGCTTTGGTTGGTTTCGATTGCTCTATTCATATGTGTAAGAGATTCAATTCCTCCTGTTATATTTAATATCGACCAGTAGACACTCGGCAATGGTCGCCAACATCGATCAATATGCTAACGCCTGATTTTTGTAGCTGAAGAAATCTAAGATGCATCTATCGTAATTCACAGAGCTATTATGTGGTCTATCGCACCAAATGCTGCCGTGACCTTCTTCATGATCCTCACCTTGATCTTTTCTATTGGACATAGACAGTATTCTCAACAATAAAACTGGAGAGCCATTTATCCAGCTATTTTACAACTCCACTCAGAGTTACACTGCTACCAACATCATGGTCACACCTTTGATTATCTTACTTCTATCTTGTTGCGTCAGTGAGGTAGCTACTACATCCCGACAAATTTGGTCTTTTGCTAGAGATCAGGGTCTCCCTGCTTCCGGCTGGTCATTCAAGGTATTAATTCTCTCGCCATTTGTATGTGTATGTTATCCTAATTATGAGATAGATTTCACCAGGTTGGAACATTCCTCTTCGAGCAGTATGCGTATCGATTGTTGTGAGCTGCTTGCTATCTCTCATCAACCTGGGCTTCGCATTTGCGCTCAACGCTATAAATTCTCTTGGTGTTGTCTCTATTCTCTTGTTTTACTATATCACCATCAGTTATCTTATTTGGAGATGTATGCAAGGGCCACTTCCCAATCGCAGATAGTCTCTTGGAAAATACGGAATGGCTATTAATATCGGGGTACTGATATTCCTAATAACCCTTTTGGTTCTTTGCTTTCTGGCCGCTTACTCTTCCAGTGACGCTTGAGAACATGAATTAATGTCCGGTTACTTTTTTTTTTTGACGCTTTTAGCATTTCTCTTATTTACTACTATTTCAAAACACGACATGTATATAAGGGACCTATGGTAATTGTCAAGAGGGATGACTGGGAATGGTGTATTCTTAAAAGATATATGAGCATAAGAAATAGAAAATTGTTCATCTATAATAGATTGACTCCTTTTAAACTTGGACCATCAGCTGAAGTACCTGATCCATTGTCAATAGTCACTATATTTCAAAGATGAAAATAAGGATAATAAGAAAAAGGTTCAAGGTCTTATAGTATCAAATTCAAAGTCATATTCAGAATCAATCTTTACATCTATGCACCTATATCTCTTCATCGAAACTTTACACCCTTATATCTCAAAACAAAACTGTTCAAATCATTCAAATCATCTAAATCATCTAAATCATCTAAATCATCTAAATCATCTAAATCATCTAAATCATCTAAATCATCTAAATCATCTAAATCATCTAAATCATCTAAATCATCTAAATCATCTAAATCATCTAAAGTTAAATTTATATAAAAAGCTTCTAAAAAAGAAAACTTAATAAACTATTAAATAGAAAGTTGAATTATTAATAGATATAGGTTATTGAATTATAAAAGCTATTTCATTATTAATATCAGAACTACATTATTTAATAATATTGATTATATAAGCTATATTCCTACTTTATAGTCTATATATTATATCTCCTTTAATTTAAAAAAATTAATAACGTTCTTATTATATATATGATTGAGATATTACTATACTATTTTATTATATAAACCTCTTCAAACTCATCCATATTTTCCATAGAGTATAAATACTATAAAAGGAATCTCGTATTCAGGTAAAATCACCAATAGCACCTGTATATACGATTTTATATATCATTTATCTCTCCTGATCATCCTACAACAGAAGCTATAGCAAATACAGCGAGCGGTACCTCCTTTCATAGTAGAAAAGACGCTAAAATACGTATTGAAGAGGGTGAAAAGCTTGATTGTATTCCTATGAAAGGTTGAGGCTATTTAAGTTGCTAGAAAGCTAGTAAAAACCACGCTAGAGGGGGCTGTAGTATTCACTCTGGTATCTATAGTATCTTAAACTAAAGAATCATTCGAATAATTACGCACTCGACTTTTACCTAGCGTATATAATATGATATACCTACTTATACAACGCGAATCTACAGCTCTATTATCTAGGATGACGTGCTGGGTGTGTTTTATACTCACCTCAATATTTATCTCTTCATTACAAAAGCACACCTCTTCCACAAAGTTTTGCAACTCTCAGTTCCTCGAACCTTTCTCTACGTGATGAAAATTATTTGCGATTAATAGAGGACGTCATCACTCCTCATTTTGAACATTTCCACGCGTTGATATGGCATTACACACTAACCATCTTCTACTTGCGTACTAAACGCATTTCTTACTCATTTACGAATTCTCAAAATCGTAAGTAATACTGCTCAATTACAGTATATTGAATCTATCAACGGATAAATAAACTAATGCTTTTTCGCAAAGGCATTCATGATTCACAAGTGGGTGCACGGACTCACGGGACAACGTGACAGGAAAGCATAATTTCATATCAAAAAGAGCTATTTTAATAATTTAATTAAAATTCAATATATTATTGAATTTTTTTGAAATCGAGATATATCATTTTTTAAATATCAAATAATCTTTTTTTTTTGAAAGTAATTCGAAAAAAATGTAATTTAAGTTCAAAATATAAATAATGTATTTTCCTATTAAAAATTTTGGTAGGAGATTATATATTCTATTATCAAAACTTCAATTTGAATGATTTTAATTTAAAATTTGTTTTTTATAGAATCTTTATGCTTGAAAACTATATATATCAATTTCAATTAAATCAAATAATAATTTCAATTTTAATTGAATTATTAAAATCACTCTTTTTGATATAAAATTGTACTTTCCCTTTTGAGTGTTCTGTAAGTCCGTACAACTACTAGTAATTCGAATCCCAGGAATCAAATAAGTTAAATACAGCGGGTTCGAAATCTCCTATACGAATATTTCAAAATAAAGATTAATTGAATTCTACTATATTGTAATTTATACTCATTTCCTCATCTCTGATCTTGTAATTTTGATCCTTGGGTTTTCTCATAATATCGGGAAGCTAGTAATGTAATGATGCTTATATATAGAGAGAAAGAATCTTCGTAGTAATAATTAGTTCTCGTCTTTTTTCCCATCTGGCTAGCTGATATTATAAAAAAAAATAGAAGGTAATAGAATTGTAAAGTAGTTCTTTATAAATACTATAGATAAGTTATTAAAATATAATATCTTTAATAAAGGAGAGAAGGAATAAACTTTATATAATGTATTACAAAATTATTATTTTTATATAAAAATAATAATATATCTTTTTATATATATATATAGTTCTATATTCATATACTATACTAAGAGCGATTCACAGGATCACATGACCAATCACGTGATCGTCGCTTATAAGCTTCCGAAAGCGACCATACGAAAACGATCGTATTTAGCTTCCGAAAACGACCATTATTAGTTTCCGAAAACAACTATATTAGATTCCGAAAACGACTATTAATAAAGAATAAGAAAAGGGGCCTTATTTCGAAGGAATGATCGGATTAGGAAGAGATCTACGAGAGATAAACGAAAGCGGAAAGCTAGATTAGAATGAAAAAGGTATATAATATAAGCTTTTTCCCTCTAAATATAGGATAAGAAATTCAATACCACAAAACAGATTCCTAAATATCACGTGTTTTCATTGCTTTTTAGTTGTTAAACTGAGCCAGCTTCCCATAATAGACTAATATTAGTCTAATCCCTCTTATATTCTATATATACTCTATACTCATATACCTGCTCATGACCTACGATAAAAATATATAAGAAGGTGGATGGGAATTGACTGCTTTTTCTAAACTATATAAAGAAGATCTATAAATATTAGTTATAGAAAGAGGTTATTTAATTAGTATTAAGTTTCGCTTATGATATATATATATATATAAGTATTAATAGTAATAAGATTTTCTATATTATTTTTTTATTAAAATATATTCTCTTTATAAATAATAGTAGTAATCTTTTTTAAAAGATTTAAAAGATTTAAAAAATTGAAAAGATTGAAAAGATTGAAAAGATTTTAAAGATTTTAAAGATTTTAAAGATTTTAAAGATTTTAAAGATTTTAAAGATTTTAAAGATTTTAAAGATTTTAAAGATTTTAAAGATTCAAAATTAATTATTAATAACTATTTATATATATATAATCAATGTAAGCAAAACTTAGTACTATTTATATAACTCTTTCTATAACTAGTATTCATAGATCTTCATTATGTACCTAGGTAGTTTAGAAACAGCAGTCAGTTCTCACCTCAATTTCTAATATGTCTTGTGAAGCGCTATGTAGAGCCTTCCTCTCCTCTCCTCTACTAGAGGCGCTATATTGTAGTGACTTTTCTATAATATATACAAAGGACTACTCTATGACTCTATCACCTTCTATACCAACTCCATTAATACATAATATTTTCAACTCTTCCCCTCATCCCTAAAAGATTCTCTCTCTACTCCCTGCACCCCCCCCCCCCCACTTCCACTTCCACTTCCACCCCTCACCCCCAAACCCCAAACCCCAAGAACCAAAACCAAAACCAAAACCCATAACCAAAATAAAAGATTATCCAAAAAGATATTCTCTCAGGCGTGAGTCGAACACGCGACATCCAGATCACGTGAGCAATTACAGTCTGACGTCATAAACCAACTAGACGACCGAGAGTTATGAATCGAGTTGAATCTCGAAATGGTCACATTTTGTTGTGTTTGTTGAGATTGGCGTTTGTATACAAAACTATATACTACACGGACAAAAAATGAAGATGGGATGGAGATTTTCGAGCAAGGATCTGGCTAGGGTGGGGTGGGTATGAAATGTGGGGGTTGTTTTGGGAGGGAGATGGGGATATGTACCGGTATGTGGTATTAATGATCTAGAATTGAAATAGTGATGGATTTTGAGAAATTCTTTTGGTGTTTTATTGGGAAGATATCGTAGAGCTTTCGATGATTTACTAGGTATTTACCTCTTTCTATTTACCTTTGCTTTTGAGATTTCAAAGCGTGTGATATTCTCAAGGCATCAATCATCACGACAATCAAAGCACAATTTTAAGACCGAAGATCAGAATTGCCACCATTGATTATGATCATAATATCTTTGTAAATCCCCTACTCAACCAACGCCTTATTAGACCTTCCTGAGATCCCTTCCCTCCACCATCCGAATTCTCGCAGAAAATCCGTTTATTCTTCAAAGAAACCCCTTCCAATTTACAAGAAAGCCTCCATCCCACCAATCCCTCATTTACTTCAACATCTTCTCATCCTTGCCACCCTTTTGAAAAGGCCACTTCCACTCCCGAATATGAATTGGATCAATTCCATTCTCAAACGCCTCTCTTCTCGCCTCAATCTGCATATTTAGAAGTTTCTCCCTAACATGCGCGCCCTTGTTACCCAATCTCTCAATACTATCTACCGCGTGCAGCGCCAAACTATATCGATCGGTTTTATTTCTGATAGCCAATTCTAATGGCGTATCAATATTACCCTTCTCGTTGTATCCATGAACGTGGATATTGCTTTGGCCAGGACGCTTATAGGTAAGTCTGTGAACGAGCCAAGGATAAGAATGGAAATTGAAGATGATGGGCTTATTATCTGTAAAAATCGATACCCAATCTTTATTCGTGATACCGTGAGGATGATCACCATGATGGATCAATTTGAAAAGATCGACCACATTAACGAAACGGATTTTCAAATCTGGAATGAGTTCTCGAAGAAGTGCAGTAGCAGCAAGAGATTCATGGGTGGGTACATCTCCGCAAGTGGCCATGACAACATCAGGTTCGAAACCTTGGTCATTAGAAGCCCAGTCCCAAATTCCGAGACCCTTCTCGCAGTGAGTGAGAGCATCTTCCATGTTGAGGTATTGAAGATGATCTTGTTTGTCGGCGACGATGACATTGACGTAGTTGGTGCTACGGAGACAGTGGTCCATACACGAGAGAAGACAATTTCCATCGGGTGGGAGGTAGATTCGTACAACTTCAGGACTCTTATTGGCGACAACGTCGAGGAATCCGGGATCTTGATGGGTGAAACCATTGTGGTCCTATAACATTGAAAAGTTAGTAATTGCCTATCACGGAAAGTTGTTGAAAGGCTGTTGAACCAGAAAAAGACAGAGAATTATACACAAGAGAAGCCAGAACCCATATGAAGAGTGAGATTCAGAGACAAAGGATTGAAGAAGAAAAATAACAACTGCTTACCTGTCTCCAAACGGTGGCTGTCAAGAGGATATTGAGAGACGCCATCTTTACGCGCCATTCGACTTCATTGCACTTCTCAATCCATTTGCAATGTTGATTGACCATGGAATCGATAACATGAATGAACGGTTCATAGCTGTTGAGTAAACCGTGACGACCAGACAAGATATATCCCTCCAACCATCCCTCAACAGTATGCTCACTAAGCATTTCCATGACACGACCTTCAGTAGCAAGATTTCCGCCATCAGCATCTTCTTCGAAGTATTCGCCCATCCAAACCTTTTTGCCAGCCTTGTAAACCTCACCAAGTTTATTCGATTCGGTTTCATCAGGTCCAAAGAGACGGAAGTTATGCATGTTGTTGGCAACTACATCGCGTAGAAGCTTTGCCATGTTGGCCATGCTGGGAAGATTGCTGACACCCGCTTCGACATTTTCGAATGCGTATTTGCGGAAGTCGGGCATATCGAGTGGTCTTCTAAGAATACCACCATTACCGACAGGATTGGCACTCATACGAGCATTGCCAACAGGAGCCAATTCCTTCAACTCGGGAAGTAATTTACCCTCCTTGTTGAAAACCTCTTCAGGTTTGTAGCTGCGCATCCAAGACTCCAAAAGTTGCAAATGTTCTGGATTACTTGCAACATTGGGAAGTGGAATTTGATGTGCACGCCAGAAGCCTTCGAGGAGTTTGTCGTCGACCTTTCTTGGACCAGTCCAACCCTTAGGACTGCGAAGAACGATCATGGGCCAGCGTGGTCGGACTGCTTTGCCGGATTCACGTGCTTCCTTTTGGTACTTGCGGATTTCGACCACACAACGCTCGAGAGTTCCTGCCATAGCTTGATGCATACTCTCGAGATCACTTCCTTCAACAAAGTATGGTGTCCATCCGTAACCAACGAACAAAGCTTCCAACTCCTTATGACTGATTCGAGCAAGGATTGTAGGGTTGTTGATCTTGTAACCATTGAGATGCAAAACTGGTAGAACCGCACCATCTGTGATTGGATTGAGGAATTTGGTTGAATGCCATGCTGTGGCCAATGGACCAGTCTCCGCCTCACCATCACCAACCATGGTCAAGGTGATTAAGTCGGGATTGTCAAAGACGGTGCCGAAGGCGTGTGAAATGGAATATCCAAGCTCTCCTCCCTCATGAATACTACCTGGTGTTTCTGGAGTCGCATGACTACCAATTCCACCCGGGAAAGAGAATTGCTTGAAGAACTTTCGCATACCCTCCTCATCTTCTGCCTTATCAGGGTAAACTTCAGAGTAAGTACCCTCCAGATAAGCATTTGAAAGGACAGCAGGAGCTCCATGACCTGGACCAGAGATAAACAATGCATTCAAGTCATACTTCTTGATAAGTCGGTTCATATGAAGATAAGTGAAAGCTTGACCAGCATCGGAACCCCAATGTCCCAAAAGTCGAGCTTTGAGATGTTCTTTCTTGAGTGGTTCCTTGAGTAAAGCATTTTCTCGAAGGTAAAGCATGCCCAGGCATAGATACATACAAGCGCGGAAGTAAGCATCGAATTTCTTGATTTCTTCATCTGAAAGTGGTTTTTCGTCGACGGTGGTGCGAACAATTCCATATGGAGAAATGCTCTCAACCTCGACTTCGCCAGAAGGTGGAGCCATGTTGAGTTATTTGAGGCACTCGATAGAACCCTAGGGTAAAGGAATGAGTATTGAGTGTCGTATCGAATAGAGGGAATGGATTGTTGGGGTTCACCTGCAACGAAGGTGGAAGTGGAAGTTGCAAAGTGGTAGTGAGATGTCGTTGTTGTAATGAAGAAGAAAGAAAGAAAGAAAGAAGGAATGGAAAAAGCAATGTGGAATTGCGCCTCCTTTTATTCACTGCACGTATCGAAAAGTCAAAGAGACATTCATTCCAAGAACCAGTCGTATGGATGGAAGCACTGCAGCGTGCAAACACGGGCTGGTAAAAAGTGGCCTGATAAATCTTACCCAAATCTTTCTCACGTATATTCACCCAACAGTAGAATAGTCTCTCTCATTATTGGTCAATTAGTTCCAAGGTTCACCTAGATCTCGATCTCATTATGAAAGCGTTAAAAGCATTGGATACCTACCTAGGTGATTGGATTGCATATCATATGAGGCGATAAAATTCATACTCTCAGGGCTTGCAGTGTAGGTAGTGAATGATCAATCACATGCTTTGAGATCTCCTTACTCTCCTCACTCCTTGGTTTTACTCCTTACCTGGACCATCTGTCGCAAGATCAACAACATATCCGCCGAATACCGATATACAAACATAATTTCCCAGTTACCTTTCGCATTCTATCGATACCAAAATTGTCACGAAAACAAACACAGATCCCTTTCATGTACGGAAAGTAGAGAATATCCCGAGTGAATACAACGCACTGCAGTAACTGCTTGTCGGCGGGGTTCCTGTATAACCCGAGAGCCATCAGAAAATGAGCTGACAATGACGCACCACCTCTTCCATCAGCCTACTTCCTTCCATCAGATAGGCCTCTACTGGAACGATAGAGAATCTTGGAGGTTTGGATGTGGTCTGATAATAAATGTTGTATACTCAGGTAGGTAGCTGGAGGTATGGATCCATATACTTGTCCTCAATTGATAGGTTTTACCTACCTTCCTCCCGGTACCTACAATGATAATGAATGAAAAGATTCACCATCACCTAGGTACTTATATTACTTTGCATTGCGTTGCGTTGTGTTGTAAACGTTGCGGTTGCATAAAATATAAATGCAGAATGTTGATTGCGGGGTAAACTCACTAAATAGGTACACTACCCAAGTCACTAATGATTGCACTAATTTACTCTCTGTGATTAGTCATTGAATACGAGCAGAGTACATAGCATTACCTAGGTAGCTTTTTGTATCCGAGAAAAGAGGAACATGTCGGATTTTGAGTTTCTACCTGAGAAAGTCTTTACAAGTCGTAGCTTCGATATTCTCTCCAGATTGTTTTCGTTTTTTGTATAAAGTTTGTTTTCGTTATACTCAAGTCGAGACGCGGGAGGAATAGAAAGTTCAGCTGGGCATTGATTTATAAACCTAATGATTTATCACCCTAATTGATTGATGTATCGGTGTTCACATACGTTTTGTTTTTTCGATTGAATATGGAGAGAGGATCTTGTGTAAATACCTACTACCTGTTGGCAAAAATATTACAGCATGTGAATTGGATTGTTTACTCAGTCTATGCAGAAAGATGATACATAAGAGAGATAAATATATTAGGGAAGCGAAGAGGTTACCTAAACTCTCCAACATGACAATCAAAATACATGAAATCCGATATTTCCAAAGCCCCGTTTGAACCACCACTATCATCATTCCAGTACAAAAGTCCATATATTTCCTCCCATTCAAATCCCAGCAACTCTTCTCACTCAAGCAGCTCCCTCCTTATGTTCAGCAGCCGTCACCTTTTCCCCCTCCACAACTCCAGTCCCATTTCCATTCCCCTCCCCCGCGCCTCTCCACTCCTTTCCATATCCCTCCACCGGCACCCGATGCGTACTCTTCCACGCCTTCCCCACACTCTCATACAGCTCATCCACCTCCTCCAAACTCAACCCCTTCGTCTCATAAATCAAAGAATACACAAACACCGCACACAACAAACAGCAACCACCCCACACAAAGAAAATCTTCGCCTGCAAATTCGCATTCCCGGGTCCAGGATTCACCAAATAAGGAGTCGAATACGCAATCGCCCAATTCAAAAGCCAATTCGAAGCCGTCGTCATCGAAATCCCTTTCGCGCGCACAGGAAGCGGAAAGATCTCCCCAGGGATAATCCAGCCGACGGGGCCCCAGCTGCTGGCGAAGAAAAATATGTAGATGCATACAAATGCCACGAGAGCTTTTTGGGCGGCGATGTTGTCGCCGTTGGGGAAGGCGGTGCCCACGCTACCGACTATCATTTGGCAGGCGAACATGCCGAGAGCGCCGAACATGAGGAGGCGACGACGGCCCCATGCTTCGACGAGGTACAGACCGGGGAGTGTGGAGAAGACATTTACGGATGAGGTAATCATGCTTGTGACGAAAGGTTCTTTGATTCCGGAAGCGGCGAAGAATGAAGTACCATAGTAGAAAATAAAGTTAATTCCAGTTAGTTGTTGAAGGGCTTGAAGGCAACAACCTGTTAAAAGTCTGCATGTGTCAGTATGTAATCAGAATTTTTGATGTAAATGTGAAGAATACCTTTTACCCAAAGTATTCCATTTTAAGAATTGTAGATATGATGATCCCTTAGCTAAAATTTGTTCATGGACATAGTTGGACTCGATTTCCTGAAGCTCGCCAATCAAGTGGGGATCGTTGATATCCAGTCTTCGAAGTCTGCCAAGCGACTTTGCTGCTTTGTCGTGTCTGCCACGTTTGATCAGGTAACGAGGTGTTTCGGAGAGGAAGATGAGTCCTATCCCTAAAATGAGGACCCAGGCGAATTCTGCGCGACTTCCATTAATTGTTGAACTTGGTTCTGATTCACAATCGAGTCTGAGGTGAAGACTTACGAACAGCAATTGGAATTCTGTACGATCCAGTGTTGTCGAGACCTTTGGTAGCATTGTCTATAACTGCCGCAAGCAATAATCCGATTGTGATAGCAAGTTGATAGGCACCCACTAATCCCTTTCAGCAATGAACGATACAACGATATAATGGGTAATATTCCCTTACCTATAGCTCCTCTAATCCACTTTGGTGCCGTTTCTAGCTGAAGTCAGATCACACACACAACCTCATTTATAACCATCACAGCTTACCAGACTGATAGAGAGGCACTATCTTATGTTAGCACATATTAAACAAACCATGAACATGTCTAACATACCTAGCATCGAAACCATGCCAACTCCAAACCCAGCAAAGAACCTTCCCGCCACAAACAATGGAATATCAACTGAAGCCGTTTGCAGGATAACACCAAAGGCAAACACGCATAGACTAATCCAAAGTGCAATGCGCCTTCCTGTCCAATCAGCTACTGGCGCAGCAAATAGAGCGCCAAAAAGTGTTCCTGCGGATAGAATCGACACTATCAAGGATGATTCACTAGACGTAATGCCGAGTTGACCTGTCTTGGGATCAATGTACCCTGTAGAGAAAGTATCCAACCAGTAGCGCATGGTTATAATGCCAGCGATCGTTCCGGTGTCGTATCTATTAAGTCGGATGATTAGTTTGAGTATGGATTTCGTGGTAATCAAGTCCAATAAAATACACACCCGAAAAGCACTCCACCAAATGCCACAAACAGGCCCACGAGAATAGCAAAGACAGACGAGCCTGCTACTCCCTCGGGCTTCTTAATCCCGATCCCCTTAAGACTAAATTTCCCTCGTTTGTTTTTCGTAAACATCGTGTCATTAGTTTTATCGAAACTCTGATATATCCCAAATGATACGGAGTACTTTTAGACATAGTAGCTGGGGATCACCCTTATACAGTTCATGCAAACTAATTAAACAAAGGGGATACTTTCGTCCAAAAACCATGTTTTGATAATGACATACGAGATGCGCGTGATTGAAAAAGAGGAACGTCACTGGTTATCATTATTTGGTGAACATCGACAATGAGCTGCACACGCGGATATAAGTCCGATGGCAAATGGTTGAAGAAAGTCAATTGATCATTATGTCAACAACTTCCCGTCCTTATTATATTTAATAATTACCTTTCTCATCTGGTATGGGACTTCAGAAGTAACTTACATACATCTCACTTCTTGAATAGCAGGTGACGGTTCAAATATCGTTATAATTGCAACAATCTCTCTGGGCGACTGAGACCAACTCTGAATCTCGAAGCTCATGAATTCCTCATCAACATAAAATTGCCGAGGATGATACTGGGAGGACAAAGAGCTAGAATATTAGGCCAACGCCATCCATTTAGCATTTTATGACATCTAAATCCCGAGAAGAAGTCCCGAAGAACAGCGGATTATATTCCGAAAATGCATATATCACCTGTAATCGATTTGAAGAAGTCTTTAGAATGTCCAAAGAAACCGTGTAAACAAAAAATCATTCTCTTTGTTAAAGAAGTCCTGGAACCTCCAATGATAATTATCAATTCTTTGACTGCTACTTCTTCATATGCTCTGTGACGTCGAAAATAATGAACGAGTCCAGAATAAATCACACGGCATTTCATATACCTACAATTGTGAACTCGGCACTTGGCATAGCCAGCGAGAATCACTGTCAATACATACAAAAGTCTTTGCCCCACTTAGAGCATCATTTCACTCAACCACGGTTAATTAAAAAGGGGAATAAGCGAAAATAACGAAGAGTAAATTGATCTCGCAGAGGCAAAGCCCACTCTTTGCCAACAGTCCCGCCGTGCGCCAAAACCTTAATAGATGTGATACATCCCTTCCATCCTACTCAAAGCCATTTAAACCATTGGTAGGATTTTTATATATCTGCAAACCGTCTCTCAAACTCTTGGTATAATTTAGGACTAATCTCATCGCTGCTATTTCCTTCAACTTCCCACAATACATTTTTGCGTGCGTAGTGTTCAAGTAAAGGTTCACTAGTCTCCTCAAATTTCTTGAGTCGTGTCTTCCAAGTTTCTTCGCAGTCATCTGGTCGCTTTGTGAGTTTTTCTCCAGTGATATCGTCAAGCCCAGCGACCTTAGGCGCATGAAATGTAGTATTATAAACTCGACCAGATGGTGCGTGAATCCATCTGCCCGCGATGCGCTCCAGTATGACAGACGCCGGAGTTTTGAGAGAGACGACGAGGTTTATTGGAATGAGTGAATCGAGTTGATAGGCTTGCTCGGCCGTGCGAGGAAAGCCATCAAGTATAAAAGAAGCTGAGGGGTCGTTTGATGTTTGAGGTGGTGAAGAGGCTTCCGCCAGTGATGGTTGCTCGACATATGAATCTGTGTCGAAATGTGAGGAGGTAGCAGACATTGCGCTAGATGCTAGCGTCATAGATGGCGCCGACGAGGGAAATAACCAACCACGAGTTTTCAATTCGTGAAGGATAAGTCGAAGTATCATGGCATCAGGAACAAGAGAGCCAGACTGTATAGTACTTTCCGCCTTGATTCCTGCAGGTATGTGTAAGTCGCAATTTACAAAAATGTGGAAGTATGCATACCTAACGGAGTCCGATTTTTGACATTATCTCTCAATAAATCCCCGGAACTAATGGCAGAAAGTTGCGGGAATCGTTGTAGAAGTCGTTCTGCCTGCGTGCCCTTTCCTACTCCCGGAGCCCCAACTAATATAATTCTTGCTGCTTTCTTAAGGCGCATTGTGTCGCATGTACTGGTTTAAGTCGAAGGAGATCGCGGATGGAGACAGTTTATATCAAAATCCTTAAAGCCGGATCGGATATCCGTACGCCACGTCGGGAACCCTCTATATCTGCTGGGGGAATTGCCGTACGACTCTTGTATTGAAGAATTAGAAAGGAAGAAAAGATATAAGTCTGATGAATGACTGTGAATCTAAAAGATGAATGACTCTTTTCAAGAGGTAGAAAAACGGCCGGAGTAAGGGATGAGACGATTGAAATAAGTAATGGGGGAAGAGTAAAATACAATACCAAGATGCTTTGTTGTATAAGAGTCCGGAGTTGTCACAAGCAAATCAAATAAACGGCGAGCGGGGGAAAATGTAAATGTAACCTCAATTTGACTGATGAAGCTTATCAAGAATTTCTGGTGTGAAATGGTCATAGCGCCTCCCCGGATTTGTTGAGGAATGAGCCAAGTGACGGCCGCCGCACGAAAGCAAGAGCTAACCTTACTAATGTCAGGGATCGTCCCGCCTGTCCGATTGTCCGATTGGCTACATTTTGACTGATTGATTAGGTAATAATACATTCCGCCATTTCTTCTCTCCCCTTCTCTTCTATCTGATGAATCTCAACAACGTCAAACACATATCGAATCAAATTGAAGAGGGCGATAAAGGAACAATGAGTCTAACATTCGTGTTTGTTTCACTTTATACTCAATATGCCACCATCTTCACCACTCTAACCCAGAGGTTTTCAGCTTGATTCTTCCCAACTCATAGTCTATTTAGTCTACTTTCTAGCAGGGGACTGTTCGGTCTATCTATTTCCTCTTCTACCTATTCTTGCTTACTTTTGACGGTCTAGCCACCCACATGCTGTCGGTCTTATGGATTCTATCGCTGCGGTGTGAAAAGCCGTGATTCTAACCTTGATTGCTGGACGAACCACCGATAAAAAGAGTTATATGTGATTCAAAAAAGAATTGTCTATTTTTGATAGCAACAACCCAAGATTCAACTGCTCCGTATGCACTCGGTTTAATGTGACAGTTGTCACAATGGAGAATCCCTCACTTGTACTATCCTGTGGAAATTTGGAAGAAAGGCTTTGGCTTTATTTCCTGCCAAATGCTCTTATCAAGCTTTGTGATATACGCATTGTTTCTGATTACATCAAAGGCGGCAAGATGTTGGATGGGGTGATCGTAAAAGCTCCTCTGCGCAGGAGATTACGAAAAGTATTAACATCGTGTAGCTGGCGGTTCCCGGGATTTACTTGCACGATTTTTCCAAACTCACCGCATCAACTCATCGCGAGACTGAATCTCGGGGCTGTAGAGACAAGTGTTTCGCTGTAGCTTGGAAAAGTTGCGTCGGGACATCCTCAATCATACATAGAACCCAAGTATGAACTTTTACTATACCAACATAAGTTGTTTGTCTTAGGAAGAAAGCTGGACTAATCGAGAAGAGTGAGATATATATTCTCATATGATTTTCCCCCAACTCCATTTCAAGTTCTTTCTTTGTAAAATAAAATCTCAACCCTCTGGCCAGTTACCATCATGGTATTTCATGCTACATGCTGGAGTATATGTGTTCGGCCTGGTCTGAGAAGTGTAGACTACTTAGTATGACTCAAGTTACTCTCCAAATCAACTCCAGGCTCGAGTAATCTCGTGCTTCTGAATAGTCCTAGTATGTCAGTCATATAGCATTTCATTCTCAGCAATGGATGAATACTTGGGCTTTGCTGCAAACCAAGTGGTGGAATTTGCTACACCACCTCGTTTCTTGGGTCAGTACGTCAATTCAAATATCTAAGAAGTTTCTTTCCTTTTCCAGATATCTGATTCAACCATAGCATTGTTCGATTATCTTCAAATCAATCTCAAATTATAATGATATTACTATGAGATTAGAGGTCGGCTCATAGTAAAACGACTGGGCTTTGATGAGGGGCATCAGGTTTTCTTGTCGAAAACCCGATCTTTCGTTGTAGCTTGGTCAATGGTATCTTTCATGTTATAGAAATCTGAACTGATATATCAACATGACTTGCAATAAAATCACGCCAAGCTTAGTATTTATGTCATTACCTTCAAGTGCAAACATCGAACCGTGTGTCCAGACATAGATTCCACGTCTTTGGTGCTTCGAAAAGAAAACGACTTGCGTATGCGAATTTAGTCCCCCACTACTTCATCCGAATATTATCGCTTATCGTTGTGCAAATTATAGTGTCAGGGAGGAATATTTTATTATAGATGCTTGAAAAATATTTAGTTTATGCGGAAAACATCAATTTGCTACCACTGCAAATGAATGTGCAGAATACAATCCATTTGCACATTCTGGCGATGAAGGTATCTATCATGAGTCGAAGTTACACGAGATGCTTTTGAGTTCTCCAGAGAAGAGATTGATATGGTCCTAGAAAAGGGATCGCCTTCTACCAAGTTCCCGTCTCTTTGGGGCATGGGGCAGAAGATGCAATAGTATTCATTAAGATAGGAAGGGTGATCCATAATTTTTTACATTTGTTTGCAGCGGATGTGAAGACGATTGGATATGAGGGTTCGGGCGGGACATTGGCAATTTGAACAAATTTTCCTTCCATTTTCCTGTTTCTCGAGGAGCTGGATATCGACCAAAAAGTACTCATCTGTGAATACAGTGACGGGTACTAATTCTTCGTTTTTCTAAATCCCATTCTAAATCCCACTAACGAACGAATGTCCCATTACCGGAACTCGTGATCACACTCCATCAGTGACTATTAATGTGTTTAGAGTAATCAATAAATTAGCTACAGGACCTCAACTAACACACAAATCACTTCCTAACGATCATATAGACCCCTAACACCAGAGTTTTGCATAACTCGAACTACAGTTTAATAAGTAGATTCTCTAGAGCTCTGAGTCCAATAGTAATAACCAAGTCCTTTGAGATGTTGAAGTTATTTCGAGTATCAATCTGCTATTGAATATTGAAAATCGAATCTAGCCTGCTAGTCTAGACTATTGAACACTTTGATCTATACAAGTTTGAGTCGAAGAGTAGTTTCGCTTAATTTTATGATACATGATACAAAGTTACGTTAATGGCCTCTTCTGTTGACAAAGTTTTATTTCAGAAAGAAGGCGGTAGAACGAGATCAAAACTTTGAAAGTATGGGGATGGGGGTGTAATTCCATTCGACTCAAAGATCCAATGATGCCATCATGTTCTCAGTATGTTATTTGGCACAGATAATGAGTCATACCTACGCCATACCTGCCTTAGTTGAGGTCCTTTGCGTATTTTCTTCAACGTTGAAGGGTTTTGATGCGTGCGACCAAGTACAATTTGGGCCCTTACTCTCTCGATTGACAAAAAAAATCATTCTAGTGTACCCCTGCAAAACTACTATCTGAAGAGGAGTGCCTAGTCTAATCGGCGTTACTTGGGTATGGATATGAATATGTTTTGTCGCAGCCTGGGATATTTTATCTCAAATCAAACCACGATGGCGCGGGAGCCTGCATCTGATAAATCTGCAAGATTCCTTCTTGGTAGGCAACATTGGAAAGTGACCGGAGAACGGGAAGATACTCATAGAGCCTGCGTGTAGCAAAGCTCTTGTGAGTCATTTTAGTAATCGTCTTCCTGCTACTAATGATAATGGCATCCCTTTCAATCCAACGATGTTTGGTATACGACCCTCGATCATGTAGGTTACAATATAAAATGACGCGATACCAAATAAACACCAAGGTGTGATAATTCCAGATTTTTGACTTCTCTGTCAACTATACAAGCACAATATGATGACGGGCAAACGCAAAGCGACAGAGATTGATGATTTCCAACCTCTCATTAAGATCGACAATGATGAACACCTTCCAGTAGTCGACTTAGACTGCAACCAAGTTCGACAGGAGATTCAGAATTTTATCAGCTCGGGTGAGATGAATGACAAAACTTCCAAAGAGCAACCAGTGTCAGAGGTAAAACTTATCGTACGTTCATGAACAAGAGTGGTTATGACAAAGGAAGTGGTAGTAATGTTTACTACAATGCAGTCGCATTCTTCAAGAAAAGAGAGTAAGGGACCATATTACCTTGCTCGCTGATTTGACGTGAAGCTGATAGTATTAGCCTAAAGAAGTCCATGACGCCAGTCTTACCGTCTCCTCCTTTACTACCACATTCCGTTTCATCACCATCGAATTCCATCTCATCAACCCTAATTGCCATGTGCTCACGCTCTGCGAAGAATAAGAGACTCAGCAAGCCCGCAGGACCGTATGATGTCTCGGGCATTGAACTCGAAGAAGAAGACACAGAATCAGTTCTGTCGCGAAATCGCCAAAACATTTCCAGATGGCAGAGGAGTCCTTACAAAAACTCTTAACAATTTCTTAAGCAGAAAGATCCACATAGCAATCAGAATCCTGATTATTGTGCTGCTTATGTCTTCTTCGAGAGAACTCGTACTCGTGATGGTAAACCAAAGAGTCAGGACCGTGGGTCAGAAAACAGTTCAGGTACCGAGAGTGAATATTCCAATTCGATGTCAGGTATTTATGGACCAAATTTCAGAGGGGCATGTTGAGAAAAGGACACTTGATAACATGGGGAAGGAAGTAGATCTTGGAAGTATTGCTGTCGATCGTGTGCACTGTCGTCGAGGTTTGTAGGGTTTGATCATCGGTAGCTTAACCACAGATCAATGGATCTGCTGCGTAAAAGATAGCATAAGAATCGAATTCTGAATTGAATTTTGTTCTTCATTGCACCAGAACTCTTAGCATATTCTTCTGTTAACGCACCTCGAAGTACATATATATAGGAAACAAATTCTGCATCTTCACTTCCGACACGACACCAATGACAAACAAGACTTTGAAAAGGCTAGGAAGTGAGCAAAGAAAGCAAGACCTTAACAACAACAGCAACTTCTTGAACTGTCTGAGAAGTGCTAGATGAAATTGATGACTATAGTATTTGAGACATTGCGGGTTTGGTTGTGCTGTGTAGTATATGCAGCTGTTTTCGAATATTCGCAGGGAAGAGTCGATCCACCACCGTTTGTCTAACCAAGACACCTAGTCTGATACCGTTTGATATCCATGAACAACTAGTATACATACTGTACATAAGACCTAATTATTGGATTGTTGATATGGTACAGTTGCTAGTTCGATGGCTATCTGTACTCTTGTACAACGCAAGGCCCTACATGAACCTGGCTAAGAAGATATCTACTACTGTATTCGTGCCACGTTCTTCTAGAACATTTCACCATGCTTAAGTCCGCTCCGTCCCGCGCCCCTATCAGTTCGCGCTAGCCCATTAGCCTTGGGAATCTATCAGCACGTGATATTCTACGGCGAATTCCAGAAGAATCATTGCTCGATCCATATCCGTCGTTGAAGGCATTTTAGAACTGGATGCATAAAGTTTTATAAAGTTTTACAACAATTCGTTCTTCTCAAAAACAACTTTTATCTATGATCTTTCATTACGAATAAACTCATTCCTTCTCTCTATTAGAACTCTGTGTAATACTACATTTCCGATACTCTGTTCATACCTTTTTTTGTCATATCATTCCTAAGGGAATTCACCATAAGAATGAGCGCTTCATCAAGAATTGTCCGCAGTGCGGCGCAAACATCATTCATAGGAGGTTTGTTCACACTCATTCCAGCTTATAAATGGGGAATTAATGAAGTACTAACTGCTACTCCTAGCTCGTGCCCTCCAACGATCTTCTCTCAGTCCCACAGCAGCATATTTACGTCGTAATGCTCGAACTCTTCCATCACAAATGCCAGCACTGGCTATTTTAATCCCACGAAGGGGTGTAACGACAGATACTCATACATCGGGAGGGACAAATGGTGCACCACCACCAGGTTTCAATGCCGAACAAGCCAGAAAACCAATCAAAGAAACTCCAATTAGCTCCAATGCGACGTCAAAAGCTGGTGTGAAGCAAGCAGGCAAACATGAAATAGACCCCATTCCAAGCAACGAAGCCACTGGAGTACCGAAAACCGATGCCTCGGAAGGCTTGACACTTTCGGAACTGGCTGGCTCAACTGGAAAGTCGGTGGAGAAACCAGATGGCGAGAAAGCAGAGAAAAAGTTGACACTCGGACAAAAGATTAAGAAAGAGGCTGCACATTATTGGGATGGTACGAAACTGCTGGGAACGGAAATTAAGATTAGTTCACGTTTAGCATTGAAGATGGCTGCAGGATACGAGCTCAGTCGCAGAGAGCACAGGCAACTACGAAGAACAGTCCAAGATATGGCACGATTAGTGCCATTTTCCGTATTTGTTCTTGTGCCATTCGCAGAACTTCTCCTCCCCATTGCTCTCAAGCTATTTCCCAATATGCTTCCAAGCACATACGAGGCACAGAAATCAAAAGATGCTAAAGTATCTTCACTTCGTGCAACTAGAAAGGATGTCAGCAACTTCTTGCGAAGTACCTTGAAAGAGACCGGATTACCATTGAGTACAGCAAATGCTCACATCGAGGAGTTCGCTCAATTTTTCCGCAAAGTTAGAGCCACCGGTGAAACACCTAGTGCTTCGGAAGTTATCAAGGTCTGCCAGATATTCAAGGACGATTTGACTTTGGACAACTTGTCTCGCCCCCAACTCGTTGGTATGTGTAGATACATGAACCTTAACACTTTTGGTACCGATACCATGCTTCGTTATCAGATTCGTCATCGTATGAGACAGATCAAGAGAGACGATCGTGCTATCAGCTTTGAGGGTGTAGAAAGTTTGTCTGTTCCAGAACTTCAGGTTGCTTGTCTCAACCGTGGTATCAGGACTCATGGAATGTCTCCTGGTCGTCTTCGCGATGATCTTCAAGCTTGGTTAGAATTGAGACTCAAGCATGGAGTTCCCTCTACATTATTGGTATTGAGCAATGCTTTCATGTATGCTCAAGGCAAGGAGGCTGAATTTTCAACCCAAATTGATGCACTTACTGGTGTTCTATCATCCATTCCAGAGGAGTTATTCCATGAGATTGAGCTTGAAGTTCACAATGCAGAGGGTGCTGCCACCAACAAACAACGTCTTGAGGTCTTGAAGGAGCAACAAGAGCTTATCGAGGAAGAAAATGAGCAAAACGAGGAGAATACCGGGGAAGGCAGAGCCACTCCTCAAGATAACGAAGATATTGATGAGACAGAAGAGAGACGTATGGAGGCCAAAGATGGAGCAGATAAGGATCAAGTGAGTGAGGCCATTGCTGCCGAGAAAGATGGAGAACTATTAAAGCAGGAAGATAGCAAGGCAAGAGAAGAAAAGCCATAAGCTCAACCTGATGTGTATATTTGAAAATTCTTCTCACTTGTTGTTTTAAAAGCTATAGCATTACTGGATCTGGTTTACGCATGGATAAAATGGATTGGATGGGAATGCGATAGAACTTTACAGTTATAGACACTGATTGCCATGATTGTGCATCAGATTACACAGCAGCACAGCGCAGTATCAAAATATCAATCAATACCAAAGTTTTTTTTAGTCGTTTGTAATAATCTCATTCGATTTGCCTTTGTGTGTTACCTATTTTTGTATACCTAGGTAGATAATAAGAAATAGCATTCGTATAATATACTTTGAATAATAAGCTACCTAGTACACTTGTAAGAGTCGTGAGTTCTTGACCAATTCGCTCAAAGAGGTTTGGCTCCCATTGATGGATGACATCGGTCCGCCTCTCTTTTAGATGTTGACGAGGGAAGGGAAGCTTCCATGATTATTGCATAGGAAATCCTCCAAACAATAATTCACTACAATTATTCTCACCACTTTTTGAGTACAAATTAAGACAAAATTCGCATTACCACTCATAAATATTATCAATCAATAATACACAGAAGTTTATTTGAGCATTGTTCATCGAAATCATTTGTATAGCAACAAGCCCTCTACGACACCAAGCTTCCCTACCCTACCCACGAAAACAAGCTCCGATTGCCCCGCGCACTTCAACTGCGAAGATGGACCACGACGATTTCGCCAATATCGAATGGCAGAACAATCAAAGAGGGCATTCGCAAAGTGATGACGAAGGCGAGGGACCAGACACCAACAGGAAAAGTGGTGAGATCCAGGCTGGCCCAAATGCAGATGCTCTGGATCTAGCGGGCGTCGGAGAAGGGGTTTTAGAGTGTACAGTTGGATCACCTATCAAGGAGAATGATGGGACTAAAGATGCATTTGTTTCGTATCTTGTTACTACGCATGTTCGTCTTTACGGAGATACCGAGGGGCGCAGGGTGATTTACTGATTTGTTATGTAGACTACGTTTCCTTCTTTTCAAAAACCTACGACGACGGTTCGAAGACGATTTACGGATTTTGTGTTTTTATACAATACTCTTTTCAGGGAATATCCAGCATGTGCTGTTCCTCCTCTACCAGATAAGCATAAGATGGAATATGTCCGAGGCGATCGATTCGGGGTCGATTTCATGCAAAGACGAGCCAACTCTCTCGCACGTTTCCTCACCCGGCTCACTCTTCACCCTGTTCTCCGTCGCAGTGCCCTTTTGATAATCTTCCTGGAAAGTTCGGACTGGAATGCGACAATGAGGTCGCGCCCCTCTCGAGGCGCTTCTCGAGATGAACAAGCTGCAGGAGTCTTTGACAATTTTACGGACACGTTCATAAATGCCTTTACCAAAGTCCATAAACCTGATCAACGATTTATAGAAGTCAAAGGAAAATCTGACAAATTGGATGAGGATCTCGGACATATTGAAAAGATTGTAGCTCGAGTAGCTCGTCGTGAAGGCGATTTGGAAACGGATTATAAAGATCTAGCCGAACAATTTCAACGGTTAATCAATCTTGAGCCCGAAATTGAAACCAGTATTCATGGATTCAGCGCTAGTGTAGAAGATACCAGTGCAGGAATCAAAACATTGAAGGACCATACAGACCAAAATTATCTTGGAAGTTTGAGGGATATGCAGGCTTATAGCACGGCGGTCAAAAACTTATTAAAAACTCGCGAACAGAAACAACTCGATTTTGAACAACTAACTGAATATCTTGCAAAATCCACCAATGACCGGGATCAGCTAGCCTCATCTCATGGTTCTGGAGCCCTGACTGGAGCAGGCGGGTTTATTCGCTCGAAAATCGAAGATGTGAGAGGAGTTGATCATGAACAATCTCGCAGAGAAAGATTACGGAGGTTGGAATTGAGGATAGAGGAATTGACAAAGGAAGTGGAAGATGCGAAGAAAACGACGGAAGCTTTCGATGAGGAGGTTGTAAGAGAAGTGGCGGATTTTGAGAGGATCAAAAGGGTTGAGTTTAGGAGTCAATTAGGGGCTTTGGCGGATGTACATAGGGATTTCTATGAT